ACTTTAACAGATCCTCAAAGGGAAAAATATTTAAAAACTAAGTTGTATTGCACAATTAATAATTGGAAAAACCACAGCCTTAACAGTGTTAAAAATTGTAGAGGATCCTGGGCGACATGCCAAACTTCCTCAGCCTCCTCAGGAAATACAGCCGTTGTTGAGCCTTCTTAATCAGCTTTGAGGTGTTCAGTGTCCAGGTGAGGTCCTCATCGATGTGTAATGTGAAAACTTTCCTAGTAAAAATGTATGGGACATTTCCAGCAAAACAAAATACAGAAGCAGGGAACAAAATCAGCCCAGACATTTTCAACAGCTTGCTAAAATAGTTAAAATGTGTAAATCAGACCAGTAAATGGCCCAAAATGGAAAATTAAATTACTAGCCCTAGATTAATGAAGATAACCTGCCTTAACGGGAGACTATAAAATTACATCTGCAAACCACATTTAAGCTCCTTAAGTGGCAGAATGGGCAATGGCACATTGGCCTAAACCTAAAACATGTCTGTACCCGTACAACATTAGGCTTCATCAAAAAATCAGTTATGTGCAGAATTTAAAAAAATTAGAAATTAGATCCATCTACAGTTGCTCAGCATTTTTTTTTCATGTACACTGTTTAATAAATCACTTTAGAATTTCAAAAGCCCTTATTAAATGTCTTTGTCTTTTCCCTAAGAGAGAAAAAAACATGCTGACTTCAGGACAGACAAGTTGCACACCCACAGAACAATATGCTGCCTTCACTGTCACTCCTGTCCATGGGAAAACATCCAGGGGGTTTATTTTTGCCAGCAGGAGCATTGTTTCTGATACTTCCACTTCATAGGCAGTCAAAACACTGGGTTGTACTACAGGGGGCTGCCTTGAAGATTGCCAGAGCTTTACTATTGAACCACCTAGTTGACATATTGTACACATACTGAAACCCCAAATGTCTATGTGACAGACAAAGATTAGGTTACTTTGATAGAACACAGAGTAAAGGGTAAAGCTTCAGTACTTTTAAAAAATGATATGTATATATCTATATATATATATACATATACACACACACACATATATATACACACACACACACACACACACATATATATATATATATATATAAATATATATATATAGTTTGTTGCATGTTGCCAGGATTTCTTGGTACAGTACAACCCTATGTGATTTATGAAAAGGGTATTCATTATTATATGCACTTGTCACTTGACTGCCTGTGCACAATGCAAAGGTATTTCAGGTTGTCAGACTGAAGCCCACTGGAAAACACAATTTTATTGGAAAAATAACTCTGTCATATCTGCCCACGTGACTAATCTTGGCCACTTTCAGCACAACAGTATTTCAGGTGGTCCGATGAGTAGTTTTATGGGCATGAGGTGCTTTAAGCATATTGCCTAGAAATATATGGCAATACAATTTTCCTATGTGTTTATATACACTATCAATATTTTTCCAAAAGGTCTTGACACCTTTCAGGAGTCAATGGTGCACAACATTAAAAAAAAGAACTCTTTTGATGCACAAAGAATTGGAAGAAAGAAAGAAAAAGAAACCTGGACTTAGAATTACTGAGGGGACAATGATCAAGTCAGCTTTAGAACCCTTCAAAGACTGAAGAGCTATTAATGGTGGATGGCTTAAGAATTGTGCACATGATAGAAACCTTGCTTTGATTAAATGTAAAAACAGCCATTTTTATGATTTAAAAAAAAAAGAAAAACAGCCCACCCCTTTATCTTAGCACAACACTCTTTGATCTGTGAAACAAGCGTTTCATGATTTTTCAACAGTTTCAAACGCTTTTTTTTTTTCTTTAAAACATTAGACATTCCAATAGAGTCAATTACAGTGCCTTTATTCAAACTGTCAGCTACAGAAACTCTTTTTTTTTTTTTTTGCCATCTCTTCATTTCAAGAAATTACAGAGGACTTCACTTGAAGCACCTCATATTTTGGATAAGCAAATCATTTACTGCATCACTCCAGAACCTCATCCTGAGATAGAACGCTGTTGAAATGTATGACATAAAAGGACTGTAATTTTATATTTCTAAAATTAATGGGCACAATAACACTGTGCCTCTCTATGTGACACGGAAGACACACATGAATTCCACCCTTGGACAGAAAGAAACAATCATGAACAACTGCCATCAGTTTATCTGAATTACACAGAATGAGCGAGTCTATTTATTTCACTTATTTCTACTTCACCACATATTGACCCACTGGTCCAATACACACAAGTGAGGGAACCACAGAGGACTCCAGTGGACGACATGTCAATGCTCTACAGCAGGATCACTGATCCTTTCGATTTCTTACAAAAGTAGCATTTGAACACGGAAAGGATCAATAAAGTCACTGACCATGTAGTGTTATAGACCACTGGGTCAATACAAGGTATGAAAATCTATATATATAAAAAAAACTCACAGCTTCATTCATTGCATCAGCTCAGTTCCATTCTTCAAATGCATCGTCTTTTGTATTAATGTGTTTTGTGCAGTTCAAACAATCACCAACTAATAATCCCAGAATATATACTAATCTACTCTGATGAGGATTTTATTTCTTGTCATCCTTTAGATTTAAGGCATAAAGACGTCAGAGAATGTCATTAAAGATGTGATGGAGATTAGCGTCCCATTGTTGGCATGGTAACAGCTGGGCTGGACACAGTTGCGTCCTCAGCCTTCCACTGTGATGTCACCGTTTTGATCTGGGTATAAAACTGGATGCCCTGGTGATAGAGAGGTAAGTGTTTACAGCAAACGACTGCAATGAAACATTTTTATTTGTGTGAGTGTGTGTGTGTTTTTGTTTTACTTGTTTGCCATAGAAGTTAGTGTCGCCTCTGAAAGAACCTCTGGAGCCAGTAAAGGAGAACATAGGAAGCGGCACAGGAATGGGAACATTTATACCGATCTGTAAAAACACACAATTATATTAAAAAAAGGAAGAAAAAAAGGAAAGATGGGCAGGCACAGTATAGCACTAGCACTGGGACATTTTCCATTAATTCAGTTCCAGCAAACAATAGAGCAAAAAATTAATAGGCTATTCTAAGAAGTTCTTTTTAAGTAGTGTTTAACCTAGGTAAAAAGAAAAAAAATCTAAAAAAAATTAATCTGTGGTGGAAGTATTACATGATATACAGTTTATTGTTTATGCTGTCACTTGTAAGGAAAATAGAGACATTTAAAAAAATATGAATCACAAAAAGATCACATTGGGAAAACAGTATGAATCTTTCTAGAGGTGAAGAACTGGAGAGAGATCCAGTGACAGAAGGTCAAAAAGGCCAACATCGTATATTTAAGCTGCTGTAGTAAATGGGATGGATGGATGGATGGATGGATGGATGGCCTGCCTGCCTGCCTGCCTGCCTTCCTTCCTGACTCAGAGCGGGGCTCACCTGGCCTACGTCTACTTCGTTCGTGAACTTGCGAGCTGTGGCTCCATTAGTGGTGAAGATTGCCGTTCCGTTTCCGTAGGGGTTTTTGTTGATTAGCGAAATGGCTTCATCCAGATTCTCAGCCTCCAGAACCACCAGCACCGGTCCAAAGATCTCCTCTCTGTAGCAGGTCATTTGTGGCTGAATAGGGAGCAAAATCATAACTTTGGTGTTACCCATTTAAAAAAAAAAGAAATGCAGTTTTACAACAGTTTTTAATACCAGGGTGCAATCCTCTGCATCCATTGTGTTTTATAAAGTGCTGGAAATAAATGTAAAACAAAGGGCTATAGCATTTAATTACTTACTAATTTTCCACTAATCAATTAACACATTTTCTTCCTGTTATAAATTGTTTGACTTTATCAAATGTTCATATTTTTGACATGTTTCTTGTACTAGTATGACAACATAAAAAAAGTACCGTTTAATAATAATTAGCTGCACCTCTTCAATTTGAATCTGAAGTCAAAACAAACACGGCAATCCATTAATGTTACTCAGTGTTTTAGACTTTTCAGCCCTTCACTTCACCTTCGAGATTGGACTCGTCAGTGCAGCACAAAGAACATGAGCTGCTTCTCGGGCCATTAATACATTGGAACGAGTTTAACAGTGAAACTGCAAAATTAAGACTAATTAAACACCCTTGTCCTCAAATTGGAGCTGTGACCTCACCGTAACTTTGCTCAGAATGGTGGGTCCAACAAAATTTCCGTTCTCATATCCCTTGACCTTAACACTTCTTCCATCCAGCAGCATTTGTGCACCCTCGTCCACACCGCTCTGGACCAAAGACTCCACCCTTTTCCTGGCCTCAGGCGAGATCAGGGGACCCACGTCTGCCCCCGGCTGATCACCTTGAAGAGTCATCAAATGGTGAATTATACAAGTTCTTTAACAAAACTTAAGGCTGTTAAAATGAATGCAAATGTGCTCATTATTTATGTATTTTATCAGATTAAAAATCTAATGCATTTCAATGTCTGGCCACAGTGACTGTCCAGACACTAATTGCTGTTCTGATATACAGTCAATAAACACGTTATTTACAGTGTGTGGAAAAAAAGTCTTTTCAAAGCAACTCCAGCTTAAAATACCATCTCTCCCAGCATGCCTTTGTGGAGGTTTCAACTTCATGTTAGACAGGCCAGTAAGCCTACAGCTGACAAGATGACTGACACAAATGTCAAACAGACTCACAGACTGATTTATACTGTTGACAACACATTTTTAAAACTCTTGACACGTTCTATAAGCCACCGTCAAGTCGAATATTTTTCTCAACATTTCCATGTTAATTAATTACAAATATAAACACACCTCTGAAAAAAAAAAATCATATTAAGGAATGTTTATTTGTCTAGATTATTCATGATTAATCAGCTACTCTGTGATTATCCTGATCAAACCTTTCAATTTTTGACTGTTCTATTAACATCCTGCATGTTTGAAATGTAAAAAGAAAAGACAAAAAATCCATTCACCTGCATTTACACGTAGTGATTTGGAGCGTTCCACCAGCTCTGGCAGCCACTCACGGGACTCCCCCACGAAAATAGCAGTGGAAAGAGCCATACAGCGCTGACCAGCTGCACCAAAGGCAGCACCCACCAGCTGGTTGATGGTGTTCTCTTTGTTGGCATCGGGCATCACTACACCATGATTCTTGGCACCCTAAAATGTAGGACATGGCTCTGAAGGGGTTTTCCTCAAGTAGACTGTACGACATTAGACAGGACAGGCTGATCATTTCCATTATACATGCCAGTGATGTGTAACTCTGCATGGATCTAATTACGACAGCGTATGGGCCACTATGGAATACAAGGGTGATAATTAATACAGTATGGACAGATGAAATGCCTACCATGTTAGACTGGACTCTCTTGCCGTTCTTGGAGCCGCGCTCGTAAATGTACTCCCCTGCCTGGTTGGACCCTACGAAGCTGATGGCTTTGATGGCCGGATGGTCACAGATGAAGTTCACCGCTGCAGAAAAGTACAAACACCACGACTTAGTACTAACTGCTGCTTTCTTTGCCGCTGTTCAAACCCCCAGCTTTTTTGCTTAGCATGTTCTACGTTAGAACCATGAAGTGTCCAGGCCCAGAGCCATTAGCCCTGAAGTCAAAGTTTATCGGTACACCTAAGACTGGATACTGCAGCTACTGATATGAGTTGCAATAAATCATGACAAACTTTTTGGGTGAAAAGAAAATCTTACACATTCAAGGAAATAAAATGATGTGGTAGTGATAATAGCCACAAATGTCAACAATCAAACAAACACTATCATTCATTTTATTTCAGCTTATTCAAAGACCTGCAGTTGAAATGATTAGTTTTGTTTATGCCTAATTATTTTAAGTGAATCGTTATTGAATAAAAACGAATTCTCCAATTACAGCCATAACCTGTACATTTGTCAAATTAAAAGAAAATATTTATCTGTGAACATGGCAGTTTTGTCGTTAATATGGATTATATGACAACTCAACTAAGCACATCAGTAATGGTCTGATTATTCCAGTATTAAAATAACTATCCGTTTCAGCACCACAGCTCAACCCCAAAGATGTCACTCCTTTTATTTCTCACTCTCTTGTCTCACACTCACTCCTTTTCCTTCCTCCTGAATTTCACAGGAGTGTCTCAGCTGTACTGGGACAGGAGCTGATAGGTGGAAGAAAAAAAAAAAATAGGGAGCAGGCCTCGGCACATTCTCTCCATCATCTTCTCTTTTTCTCTCTCCCCCTCTTCATCTATCACTCTTTCTGCATTTGCCTTTACGTGTTTGTGTAAATGTGCATGCATCTTTAAGACAATGCCGTGACATCGCTCCCCTTCGCCTACTGCCGACTTGACGTCAGGCTGTTTAGTTATTTTTACTTTGACTTGGAGATTGCTGCAAGTCCTGTTTTTCAGATAGAGCTTTAGGTTCAGAAGGGTCGTTTTATTTTTAGTTGTGAGGGAAACGCCTGGGTGATGGCCAAATTCAAAGTTGGTTCGGTGTCTTCCTTTTTTTTTTTTTTTAAATTAGGATTTCCATTCCCAGTTTGTCAAATCGATATAAAAATCCATGGTTCAAAAATGTTGGTTTTATTTGCAAAACAATTTTCTACTGTTACCTCTGTGCTTATGTTAGGACGTCAATTGTGTCAAAACTGCATCATGTGCAGTATGCAATAATAAAACTGTCATCAACATAGCTGTTAAGAATGCAACCACTTTGACACGGTTTAAAGAACAAGTTGAAGTGCACACCAAAGCTGTTTAAATTACATTCCACGTCATCACATCTTTCATTATTTATACATAAAGCAATCACTGATAACAGTCACACACTGACAAAAAAAAAAATCAGTTATTTATGGGTGACTAAATCCAAATTTTGCATTTAAAATAGACCATCCTGTTACAGGGGAAATAGACAGTAACCATTAAAAAGGCCAACAGAGTCTATTATGGAGCCAAGCTTTAGGCAACGTCTGTTAAGATTCATTGCAAAGCTATAATGGCATTTTTCCATTTCTGTGTCTCTGCCCTCAAATACATCTGACCCAAAATCTACTGCAAATGTACCAACCTGCGTGCTGGCCGTGAATGATGTTCAGTGTACCATCTGGGGCCCCAGCATCCTGAAGCATTTTGGCCAAGAGCATGGTGCAGCCTGGTACTCTCTCAGAGGGCTTCATCAGGTAGGTGTTGCCACACGCCATACCGATTGGAAACATCCACAGTGGAATCATAGCAGGAAAGTTGAAGGGAGCAATGCCAGCGCACACTCCGAGGGGCAGGCGGTGTGTGTAAGTGTCCATATCCTTAGTGATGGAGGGTAAAGTTTCCCCCAACATGAGAGACGTGATGCCGCAGGCGTGCTCCACCACCTCTGATTGGGAGGAAAAAAAAAAGTGTCAAGCTATAATGAAATATTGGATACGTCTTGGACTAAATGTGCAGTCATTAACCATCATGAGGAGGCAATTTTTAACATCATTAAAATGTACTATTAATACTGCACATTGACCTCCTAACTGAAAGTAACTGTTAATGTTTTTTTATATGTGTGAATTGATTTTCTCTAAAAAAAAACATCAGAGAAGCTGTAAAATGGAAAGCACCACTTGTCTCAGTACTTAGGAAAATCTTGGTATTTGCCAAAACACATACAGATGTAGCCTGTCTTTCACCTAGTAGGTTTAAAAAGATAACATGCAAGAATAATTTGGGATCTTTAAAACTGGGAGCAGTACCAAGTGCACAAAAATACCTCTGGCACTTTTCACTGTGTAACCAAAATATATCTTGGTTTATACGCAAGTGCACTTGGCTTTTAATTCCTCCGCATGATTCTTGTTGATGTGAAACTGTCAAAGTTAACAACTGCAGCACAATGAGGGGGAACTGCATTTTTATATAGCATGCAATTAAAAAGTGTATGCACGGAGCATCTTAAAAAGGCAGCTAAAAAAACAGACACCCTTCATTATCAGGACTGAGAAATGTAAATCTGCAGGAAACACATTTGCTTTGGTTAGAAATAACTAACAAACAGCTAAGCTCTTAATCCAATATGGCCAAACCTTTTGTCACAATTAAATAAGGAGCTGAAGAACAGACTGCAGAAATGAGACTCCCCGAAGCCACTTAGGTTTTTAAACTTTGATCCATAGTTTGCACTTATTCAAGTGTGGTTCATCCAGGATTACAGAGTAAAGGACTTGTTTTATTAGGCCCACACTGGTACAATATAGAGTTTTCATCTTGGCCACACATTTACTACTGCTCTAATCCAGTGAGAGGAGTGGAAAAAAAAAAAAAAATCAAATAACACAGCTAGAAATCAAGTCCACTTACGCAGTCCTCTGAAAACATCTCCCTCTGCATCAGCCAGGGTTTTGCCCTGCTCCAGGGTGATCATTTTAGCCAGTTCTTTCTGGAAAGAGAAGATAAAACTATTTTCACACATTTTTTAACCAGATTTAGTTTAAAAAACAAACACACACCATATACTGTATTCTGGTTTGGAAGTAAAAAAAAAAAAAAATCTGTGCATTCCTGTGGTTCTTATTTCTGGTTGTGGATCAACAAAAAAACAAAAAACAAAAACAATGAAACAACAAAAAATGATCTGGAGTCGCCTTATTTTCTACAGATTTAAACGCAAAACAAAATATACAAAATAATTAGACACACTTACGGTAGCTTCTTTCTAAATACTTGCAAAAATGCTGATTAATGCCAAAAAATTAAAAATCCAAAGGAATCTGATGGAACAACAACAAGGATTTTGTACAGAAGAATTGTTTATCCAAAGCTTCCTTCCAATTATCTGGAAAAGCGAACAGAGATAAAGGCAACTGTACTTGGAGACTATAAAATACTTTTCTCATTTCTAACAAATTCGTTGACACAAGGTGTCAAAGAGCAAAAATATTCATGGACATTTTAAGGAAAGTAAAATACCGAATTGATTTCTCTAATCAGAACCTAAAATAAAAATAACAACAAGCTGGGTGACCAATTAAAACGCGCAAATCAAAAGTTCGCTTACAATGTTGTCCTTGATGAGCTGCTGGTAGCGCAGGAAGACCTGCTGCCTGCTGAGGATGGAAGTCTCGGACCACGACTTGAAGGCTCTAGAGCAGGAGTCTGCAGCAGCCAGCATCTCCTCCTGAGTAGCTTTAGGAACACGTCCCACTACCTCATTAGTGGCCTGGGTAACAGAAGACAGACAGTCCACACGTACATGATGAACAACGGCAAGAAGTCATTAGTCAACACCGCAGCATGTGCATTATTTCATTAATATTAATAACTAAATGTTTGTTTCCCATCCTTTACAAGTTTGACAGTTAATGAGATGAAAGTTGACGTCCTGGTTTTAATGCTGTAATCATTCATCACTGTCTTCCTGGAGGCTTCTACAACAGCACACCAGATGAACAAGTCTGGTACGACAGGAAACACCAATGCAATTCTTTGTAAATAGCCCTGTTAGCAAATGGAAAATCCAGACTTATTTTCTCCTCTAATGTTCACACATTACTATTTCAAAGCAGCGCTGGTTACAGGGAGCCAGCTTTCAGGAGAGAGAGTGCGTTACTTACTTACTGCAGCCCTTGTGCAGGCTGGGTGTCATCCATCTATGAATACTTACAGGGTTGTGAATGTCAAGCCATTCAGACGTGTTGGACTCGACAAATTTGCCATCAATGAACAGCTTGGTGGTGGGCTAGAGGATCACAGAAGCATATGATTAAATCACTACCCGGCTGGTTACAACAGCACAGCGTTCACTGTGGAAACCTGATCCATCACCCCAGCCCATAATATGCAGTCGCAGCCTTCTGCTTAGTCTCTAGCACGCACATTGTACAGAAAACCAAATGGCGTCTCTGGTTCAATCTGCCAATTTAAAAGGCAGAATCCAACTAAGCTGTGGTTCAATCACACGACACGCAACTCTGATGTGGTGTAAATATAGTGAGCCAATGGGATGTGCTCAAATACTTTACAGTACCAATATTTGCTGAGAGCCTGGTTGATTGAGATAAATAATAATTTATTAACTGTGCTTAGTATATTGTCTCAAACAGCATCAGCTCTTTAAAGTAGATATTATATTAATTCATGGATAATCTGTAGATTAAATTAATTTGTTTAAACAGATTACAGAAAGCAGCGCTATATAATACATTTTTTGTATTTAGAAATATTGTCTTTAAATTTGTCTCTTAATAGTACATTGGCAGAATGATTAATCAAAACCTTGATGCTTTCTGACTACTAAATAGGTCAATTACCATTTTTGGATAATTGTGTAATCATTTTTAAAGTGAATATATTGGTACTGTTTAAATTAATCACTCCTCAGTTATTGTAAAATTACTTTAGTCCAAAACTTTGGTTTGTAGACACTATAATACATTTAGGGGCATTAGCATTTAGACATGTCATTATTCAGTGACCAACTGAATCCTAAATTAAATATTTTCCATGAAAGAAAAGTTGTTTTGTGTTAGACCTTTATGAAATAAAACACATTTAAGCTTTTCAGATTTAATTATAGTCTGGTTTCTAGTTGTTTCCTTTTTTTGTTATCTGCATTGTAAGGACAAAATAACAACAGGATTACTTGGAAATAAAAGTCCACTCATCCAAATTCTAAATGCCAGAAGCTGCAGACACAGTGATTTAATGATTTTATTTTATTTTATTTTTAAAGTCCAACAACGTTAGAAAATAAACATTAGTCGCACTCTAATCGGGTTATCTCCTGTTGGAGAATATAAACATAATTGTCAGTCAGTTACCTATTTTTGCTTACTTGCATTTAGACAAATTATTTTTGTATATTTATTTTTGTAGCAGCTCTAGTTGGCTGTTTCCTGCTGTTATTATGGAACGGTGAAGCTCACTGTTCTCTCGATTGTCAAAACATTAAACCTCTAAGGTGAGTGCACTGTCAGTGAGCACGACAGAATTGGGGCCCAGGTAATAAGTAAGCTTTACAATGCAGACAAAGTCCAGTGGGTTAAATCAGAGGCTTTGACATGAAGAAGCTTTATATTAGGTTTATATTAGGCCAGTGTCCATGTCATGGGTGCAAAAGTTATAAAAATAGAGATTTTTTTTATAACTAAATAATATTTCTTTTATAATTATATATCATTTTAGTTTATTTATTGATTATACACAGAGTTTAAACTTGTGCATCACTTAAATATCAGAAAAACACATCTGCCGTCGCTAAACTTCAAACAATGTTTAAACCATTTAAACATTGTTGCACACAAAAACCTTTTCAACTATTAGATTATTATCACGAGTCATCAAATAAAGAAAGTCAACAATTATTGAAGAATGCCAAAAGCCTGAAAAGGTTTAATTTTCCTATTCCAAAACAGAATTGAAAACTATGTGGTGACATGTGCATTAAAGAGGTAAAATGACTAATAAAACAATGAGTGCAAACCACAATGAGTGAACCTGCAGCAGCCTACTGTCCAAAAACACAGTGTATCTGACAGAAGATACAGTATCTGATAGGAGTGGCAGTGAGTCACTGACCAATAGCAGACACTAATCGGTTACATAAATCATCCCACCCTTTGATGGTTTAAAAGTGAATAAAAATAAAAAAGGTATAAGCCCAATGTGGATGGTATATAAATAAATATGATACAAAACACAATAGCAACAACATATGTTTGTACAAGATCAGCAATTATTGACATTTTTTCCACTGCTAAAATACACTGCTGTGGTCAATTAAGAATTAATGTTTTTTTCACGGAAATCCCCGTATGCTTTGCATTTTCATGGCTTATTTACAGGGCTCTCTATCTAAACGTTCACGCAAAGTCACGGGTCGGTAGCTTTTCAGATCTTTGCTCAAAAATATTGATAACTGCATTTGATAACAAACACTTGCACTGACAGATCAGGCTTTTCCAGCTACGCAGCGCCTTCAAAGACCTTGAAGAACTGGAAGTGTGACACAGCACTCATAACGTGTTCAAACAAAGTTTTCAGTGTGCGAAGTCTTACCACGGAGGAGGAGTAACACATGCGACCCAGCTGCACGGGGGCCTGAATAATTAGAATTAAAATGCATTAGTCAAACGCAACTCGTAACTTAAAAAAAAGTGGCATCTGGCTTGTTTAATTATTTCTTGTGCATTTAAATATATTATTATACAACAGGAGCAAAGGAAGAAGAATGTACTTAGTGCAGCATGTGGAAACTGCAGTAGCCTTATGTTGTTAGCTAGTTTCAGTAGCATCAAACAAAAATAATTCTTTTGCACGATCTGTGCTATTAAGGCATTGTTCACTACCTTTTTGGTTATGAGTGATCGGAGGAGCATGGCTGCCATTGTTCCTGCACTAAAGCCCTTCAACCGACCGGACAACACGGTGCAGATAGAGAAGAGGAGTTGAGCTAGCAGGGCACAGAGGTGATCTTACACTGCGACCAGATCTACAAAACAATGCCTTAGCGTTTGTCAGTGGTTTAGTACGAACTCCATATGGTCTATTTATCTACACTGTGCAATGTAGGCGGGACAAAAATACGATGAAGGCCAATATTTTCTCGCGATAGCCAAGCCTCCCTCAATTCCCAGAATCTGATTGGCTGATACTTTTCAGCGACTCTTCATAACACTCAGAACTTTGAGAACAAATAAAAAATAACATATGATAACATATACTTTATTTGCTGTACATATTTGATTTTTTTAAATTGTTCTTCAATAAAGAAAATCAGTGGATTATTGGTAGTTGACAGTTTCCATGGCAACGTATAAACAGACAACATGGAGGTTCTACACTGGACTTGTAATGATGTTGCTGCATGGATCGAGTCTGTGGGATTCCCACATTATAAAGTAGGTTATCACAATATGACAGTAATATACTATATCAATAATATATCAACAGTAATATATTACAGTTGGAGAATGGAGCTTGAGAATAATAACACATACACAGGTCACACAACAAAAACCATGGCCCCCATGGGCAGTCCTCATGTTAAAGTTTCAGAGTAACCTATAGTTTACAATATCAGAATATCACTAATGGATTGATTCCACATTAATTTTCACCAACTGTGTCATTTTTTTATTTTTATTTTACAGGCATGTTTCACAGACAACATGATCACTGGAAGAAAACTCATCTATGTCAACTGCACCTACTTACCAAGACTGGGAGTCACTAATTTTAAAGATATGCAGGTATTCAGTAGAGATCTTGGTTGTTTGAGTCCAAGCTGTGAAAAAGATTGTCATGTTGTGATAGCAGAGCTTGTTTACATATCAAAGCTTAAATGTCAAGAGAAAGAGCAGTGAAATGATACATTTGTCTTACTTCACAACTCCCTCAGCTACTGTGGCTTCCTGCCCCCCCCCCTTCTTTTTTGTACCCCTTTCTTATTTCCTTCTTTCATTCCTATTTTTGTTTTCTTCTGACTCAGTGGGCTCATTTACATGATGTGCATTGCTGCTTCCTTGGATCGTTCTTCTTTTCCTCCCATCTTTTCCCTTTCTGCTTTCCTCCTTTCCATTCTGTTTACCTATCCTTCTTGTTTCTCTCCCTTTTTTCCAGTGAATGTAAACGCAAGAATGTGTATAAGAGGTGCAATTTTTTAAGGCAGCAGTGCATGTAGCTAAGTCCATTCTAGCAGAAACAAGAACAAGAACTGTATTGGATTTTAATTACTTTCACCACCTGATGCTGAAACACTTTGTTTTGTTTCATTGGATTTGTCTTAATTTATTAAAAAAATACTATTGTTTATTACATTTCTATATAAATGTAATTGAACAGCTTTTTACTAACTTTTACTAAAGTTAATTTCACATTATTTGTGGACAACACAAAAAATAGACTACGTGGCACCAAACAAAAAAGATTCATTGCGACTGTCATGAGTACTGAGTGAGCCAAAATATCACTATATCACTTTTTGTCCTGGACACTTCATATCCCAGGTACTGACAAACTACCCTACATGCTCTGAGTGTTGTAGAGGTCAGCATAGTCATAGCCTCAGTGCAGCTAACTACTAGTACACATCCCTGTCCTTCATTTCCATTTAGTATTTCATCAATCACAAATAATGGAAGCTAATTTGAGATGAGGTTCATACACATTTGTCCCTTGAATCAATACTTACTGTTTATGCAGTGGGCACATGGTGTAACATTAGCAAAAACATATGCTTGCAGTTTGAAAACAAACAGCAGGTGATGCTATTAATGCAGTTGTCATGCACCTCTGCATAGACAAGTCTGAAGCATGGATCTCCGGGGACACTTGACTGTGGTGACAAGAGGTCTGACTGGTGTGCCATACCACAGGCACACAAACAGACTGAGAATCTAGATAGACACTACAGCACAGAGCTCTGGGGACCTGTATATCTCTGAAACTGGCGTGATAACAAAATGTTAAAATCTCCCATTCTCTCTAATAGTGTTAAAATTAATGCCAGGTTTTATTGTGAAGTTAATAACTTCGTTAAAGTAGTCAATCTTCAGATGAGCACAACGGCATTTGCAATATTTTCTTTGATCCTGAAAAAAAATGATCGGGGAATTCAGTTTAAATATGATACTGGGGTTCATTGGTAAGAACGGAGTGCCTTACTGTATTTACTTTCTTAGATTAGTCTTTGCTTCTGAACCCTTTTGCATATTCAACCCATCTTGGTTTCCCTCAGGACAAATCACTTGTGGCTGTCAGTGGGACCACCTCATTAAAAAAGGTTACATACTGTAAACATATATATGTTATCAAAGAGTTGAATTCTGCTGTGTGCCCTGCAGGTCATCTCTGCATGTGTGCGTGAGCTGCTAGGAATCAGAGAAACCAGCTTGAGCCGCAGCATTGCCGACCCCCCGCGGGATTCCATGAGTCTGTTCCTTGAGGAAAAGAGTCGCACAGGGGAACAGGTGGACAGCCTGACCTTCCAGGCCTTTATGAGTGACATGCGCCGTGACAGAAAATAAAGAAAGTCATAAAGAGCCTCATAAAGTAATAAAGGAAAAGAGTCAAATCCAAGACATGTCTGTGTCATTTCCCATCACCAACTGTCAGTTCATGAATTCTCCGATGAGACACTCACATAGGTCACATGCAGACCTTGACATTAACACTTCCCACAGGCTTGTGGGCAGCTTCCACCGTGGCTCATGGAATCAGTTCTGTCTACACATATTCTGTGAGTACATACAGTTAAAGATAAAATTATTATCTAACAATTGAGTTATTTTTAAACTGCAGTTAATTGTTGAAGCACTTTTTCTGTATTCAGGGAAATGAGATTATTTTGCTGTGCACACACAAAAAAAATAACACTCGCAAAAAATCACCAAGGTCAATAATTAACATACTTAGAGACTGACCTATTTGCTGAGAAATAGCACAAAACAATGATGTGTTGATGTAGCAATGCTCCAGATGGATAAATAAAAAGTTTAAACTAGGTTGTTGATGTTGTTTTTAACTCCATATAAAAATATGTTAATTTGGGGTTACATCTGAGAAAAATATATTGACACAGAGCAAATTCATCTTTTTAAGTGACATGCAGTACAGCAGCGGTTCCCAAACCTTTTTAGCCATGCACCCCCTTCTATATCCCTATGGGTCGACACACTCCTAATTACCCACACCTTCAAGAGAAAAAAAAGACACCACATGCTTTCTTATAAAGGCAGTATGTTTAATCATGCTCCAATGACCAGAATACACATACCACACATACACACAAACACACACACGTATATAGTCTGCATGTGGAAAAAAGGGACATTACTTGATTAACCACCCAGTACAGCCATAGACCTGATCAGTAATTTCCCACAGCAAATACATGCAGCATTGTTAAAACGTTTGCCTGAATTGTTTGGTTATTCCCATTGATCGATGTACTGCCCTCTTGTAACCGAAGGGGGATATTGATCTGGAGAACAGAAATCCTCGGGGTAATTCTATGGATGACAACTAATACCTGATTTTAATACAGCAAGGAGCCACATGAGCCATAGGTCACCGTCGTGGTGGGTAAAAAAAAAAAAACAATATCTTTGAGACTCCAGGAAAAACACTGCACCACTTATCTATGCATTTATAAAAAAAATCTCTTGCAACTTGCAAAAAAGGCCATAGGATCATTGCATCAGATGGTGATGGATGAGTGCCAGGCAGTCCCACAGGGAGCCAAGGCCTTTGGTTTCAGCCAACTCGACACTTCTTTCTCACCAATAATCTATGTAATGTATACAGGAATATTCAGCTATAGGCTGCCTAGTTTGGTTTCCCTCAGATCAGACGTATTGCACTATAAATCAAAGAAAATAGTGAAGGCTTATCAAAATATTCCAGAGGTGAACGTGTCAGGTTTAAGCAAATCTTTTCTTCTGCCTGACGTCCCTAAACACCTAATGGATCCATTATAACCACAATGAGTGTTAAAAGACAAATCTGGCTGCTGTTCAAGGTCACTGAGAACTGTCAGTGGGAGTAATGTGAGAGAATTTTGTCCAACAGAGACCAAGGATTCTCATTCTTAGTGAATGCAGCAGGGCTGTTACAAATCTAATCTTAGGGGAACAGACAAGGGGTTGTTCTACCTGTTAAGGTGCTTAAAATATCACCACTAGTACTGCGCAACATGATCAAGTGTGCATGTTTCACCAGTGACATCTAGTAATTGCCTACTAACGACTAAAACATGACAATTTATTCAAATAAGACAAGTCATATTTGCATTTTTCGCCATGAATATTAGACTGTGCTGAGATAGTACATAACATATAATCTGAATTTTGGCTTTGAGCCCATCCTATTTGCACATAACCTTTCTGATGTAATAAATTCAACTTGGATCTTTGCAGCTTTGGACTTTTAGTTTAAAACTAATTTTTTTTTTTTAACTCAAACTAAATCCAGAGTGAAAGTTTTGAAACTTACATCAGTTTATGTCACAATATGAAACAAATAATGTTACACTTACAGTGGTATTTTGAGCATGTCAGTGTAAGTATATGCTTGGATGTAAGTAGTCCTGGTTTCTTCTGTGTGAAAAGTTGAAAACTCACTTGATTTAACTACGAATCAAAAACTCATAGTCATGAAATCTTACAACCCAAACCAAACTTATTACAATGATTCACAAATTTGTGCAAAGCAGCAACAATAAAATCACCAGGGACACAGCTATTCCCACATCCTATCAGTTTCTCATTTTCCATCTCGTGCACATCTGAATCTTTTTTATTTTTTTTTATTTGGTCAAATAAGGAGAATATAAGCCTTTTGCATTTTCATGCAGCAGGGTTCAATCTACATGAATAAATGATGATGCCTGCCTGTGAGATAGGCTGAGAGACACTGCATCTGTCTGTGCACACAAATGGTCTCTGTGCAGCGCCGAGCGCCCCGATTACCATTCTGAGCACAGCACCCCTGGTCAGAAATGAAGCCTGGTATAGGTGGTTGACAGTCGTCCAGAGGGCACAGGGGGTTGGATTGACTACATTGTGGCTCCAACCTTTTATTCAATCTGGATTAAGTCGCTCTGAGCCCTGCGTAGCCAGAAAAACCCAGTGAACATCTGGTTGGATTCTGCTCAGCAGCAGCAGCATCAGCAGCAGCTTCAGCTCAGCAGCAGCAGCAGCAGCAGTCAGTCAGTCACAGGGCTGTAGATATAAGAGCAGTCTGTCGCTACAAAGGCGTTTTCTCTTGTGGAGGTTCACACAGGCGGATGCGCAGCGCAGCAGAGGCGATCCCACACAGCTGCAGCCACACCGGGACCCTTCAGTCTGCGCTTCCCTGCGCCTTTTTCACTCCGCTTTGCGAGGGGGAAACCTGAGCTGCATTGCTCGGATTTGAGGACATCGCACAGCAGAGGAGTCGTCCTTTATCTGCTGTTCATGGATTTCTTGAAGGGCATCGCTGATTTCGCAGGCCGTCATATGTTCTAGCAGCAGAGACGCATGTTTTCGGGACAGCTGAATGGTCTCCATCGGGTCCAATTTTAGCCAAGACCCGTCAGTATGAACTCAGCCCCCCCGGGAGGAAAAAGGTTCAAACACACCCAGCTGTCTCACTTGGCTTGATGTTTCCCTTTCAAGGTAAGTTCAATATATATTTTTTAACGATTTAATGTAAATCGTCGCGGCTGAACTCTAGGGGGGAAAGTATCTTTGAAGTAGTTCTCCCAGGACCCATCTGAAAGAATTCAGAATCCCCCCTGTGGCACACACTGGGTTGTGGCTGTAATCCAGCAGCCCAAGACCTGCACCGCAAGGTCAGAAAATCTTCTCATTTGCCAAAGGAACGCAATCAGATTTTATTTTTAGTACCCACTCGGCTGCATCCTGTGCTGTTTTTTTTTTTTCTCCGACAGGTGAGAGTGAGAATCCTACCTAATGTGGCCATTATTCAGCCTGCACTCCTAGGCTGCATGCCGGATAAGATTGATTTCAAGTGTAAGATATGGCTGTGTTTTATTGTGTGGATCCAAAGATAAGTTATCTGATGGTTGGTGTTGTGCTTAACCCCAGCTGATATGCAAATCACACATCAGTCATTAGGCTCAGATGGAGAGTAAATTAGCTCAGGTATAACACAGTAGATGTATGATAGGTGTGTAGGTAGAAGAACATGTTACAGGATGACTAATGGAGACAGGTGAAAATGTGGTCCTGGTGATTTTTTCACGGAGGATGACTTATGATGGTCTTGTCTTCGAGTGTTAGTTATCACATATCTTATTATTCATGAGTGCCCCAGGCTCCATTGTAACAGCACACCAGTGAAGCCAGGCTCACGCCTCATTTTACTGTTTCTGTACGCTCTCCTATGTTAATGCACTCGCGCTGGTGCTGTTTATGCATGATGCTGCTACCTTTCGCTGATAGTACTGGGCTGATATGAGCTTATCTGGTGCCTTTACAGTAAATGTACTCATCTGCAGACCAACTTCACAGCCGCTGACCCAAATTTTTACTGCACTATAAAACTGAGTCCTTGTATTTTTGCTGAATGCATAGTTCCATGAAAAAAAAGAAACACTGATTATTTGTTATTCATAAACTTGCATGCACCGCATATAGTAGCTATGTAGTTATAAGCAGCACAATTTATAGCAATGATGACATTCATGATACTGTTCTACAGGCCAACTCATCAATCGTGGAAAGCCATGCCTATTTTGTATGTATCAGTCTTTCAACCACATTAGCATTTTGGCTGGAATACAAGATGGGAAAACAAAGATCTTTGAAAGAAATGAAATGAGCCGATTGTAAATGGAAACCTTTTCTTTTTTTTGTTTAATTTAAGTCCTATTCAATACATGCTGTTTGAGGCCAAGGGACCACAGATGCATTCAGTCAAATCTGACTTCAGTGTGTACGTCACAGAAGAAAAGGTTGCCCTAGTTGAGCCTCTGTGGTTTTCATTCAGATTCAATGTCACGAAGGAAAAATTCAAACTGAGTCCCATGTGTTTTAGCCTTGAATCCAAATCACAGAAGAAAATATTTAATTGAGTCTAAGAATGGTCCCCATTGTTTGAAATCCATGTCTGAGTCACATAATAAAAAATCACACTCTAGTCTGCGTCACGTCCCAAAGGTTTTGAGTCAGAGTCCAAGTAACAGCAGAAGTTTGAGATGCATCCAAATCAACTTCTATGGTTTCAAGTCCAAGTCAAAGTTGAGTATGAGCAGAGTCTCGGCATGAATGAGAAGCAGGATTCTAAACCCCAACATGTAAAACCACATTGGAGAATTGTCATATCTACCAGCATGTAGATTCTCACTGTGGTGAATATTTTTTCAAAAAGTCCATATGGATATTTAGAAATGATTTTCAAAGATTCTCTGTGGCTGCCTCTTGAAGAAAATCCTAGGCCATAAGCTCCTTACACAAAACACATCATAACACCGAGCAAATTAAAACCCAAAGTCAATAATCAGTGTTTTTCTCCCTCCTGCTTCAGTAGACAGAATATCTTCATATTAAAGTATAAAGACTGTTTTTGGACTCGAGCCACAAGATTTTCAGTGTAGCTCTAATTTTCTTCTGAAAATACTTAAACTAGAACGCATTTCTTCATCAAGACTTTTAAGTCCGAACTGTGGAAAAAAGGAAGTAATGGTTCAATTTCAATATCGCCAAGTGTGCAATTTGTCTTTTCTCATCACTGCAGCATAAAGGGAACAATAGGCCTCATCTGGCCCCTCGTCTGGCCTTTAATCATGGGCATCAGTCACTGATGTCCTTAGCACTAAATATAACTCATTTTGTAAATATTCTCAATAATTCTGAAAACAAGCTACTGATTACATCGCACCCCCCAGAAAAAAAACATTTTCTGTGTTGCCATGGCATCAAGGCTGTCACCTAAGAGCTATGGCACTCTAACATTAGCAGACTGTGTGTAGGAAAAGGGTGACATCAGCACATAAACACATGCACAAACACAGATGTGTGAGTTAGGCGCTCCACAGCAGCATCAATATTTAGTCAGGATGTTTAGGCTTGGGCTACATGAGCATTTACTTGCTAAAATAGAATTTGTACCACCTCATTCAAAATATGATCCACTTCAGCAGATGCTGCAGCTCCATTTAGTCTCATAAAGGAGGCAGGCCGAGGTCCTACACTATTTCACTGCTTTGTCGATACCATTTTGCCATTATGTTGCAGCATCAGTTTACCTCCTTGACACAACAGAGCTTATTTTTGGCGGATGAGCACGTCCGGCTGCCTTTCTTGACAAACGCAGGTTAGACGCTGGCGTGATGCGCTGTGGTATGGACCAGCAAAGTGGCGTACAAGACACACATCACCTCATTAACTTCCTCTCACAGGCTCAGCTTCCCTGCTTCCCCGCCCAGACACGGATTGCAGAGGCTTTATTTCATGATCTTTAGCACAAGTTAGACCATCTGAAAACATATTCCCCATGACCTCACCGGCCAATTGGCATGCAGTATGCTGCGTAAGGCTTTTCCTGGCGAATGCTACCCCAGGGAGATCATAGATATCCTCTCCTACAGTGTACTGCTGCTGCTGCTGTGCATGAGTGTCTGTCTCTATAGCTGGGGGTTGTTGTGTAGTGTGCTAACTCTATTAGGCACAAATCCACCCACTGGTGTGTATGTGTGGGTGTACGCTGTCAGTCTTTTTTGTTCTCAGAGGGCAAAAAAGACCTGCTCAGAGGTAGTAAAAGAAAATGTGATTGACTAAGAAGGTGATAATGCTTATTGCATCAGTAGATTGTGTTTTCCTGTTTATTTGTCGCCCTCCCAAGTCGCCTCATCATAATGAAGACCCAACTGAAGGATAATGATTTTCTGGGGGTGTGACATTTAAAGATGAAATACGTGATTGATGAATACATAGATTGATTATCTACTTATTTGTCTATGTACCTGATGAGCACAACCTGTTATGCAAATTGCTCTGAATCATCCATTATTAAATGCAAATTAGGGAGGCGGCACCAGATATTCCTGCCCCCTCTCAGTGAAGAGGGGTTGTCCTTTTGTCCTCACTGAACCAATTTTGTAGGGATTACCATTGCAATCATACTCTTCACGTTTGGCTGAGTTTTCACCGGTAAAAAAAAGAGCCCCATGTCCACAAAGTGAATCAATATCACGTCTTCGGCACCGCTCAAAACTGGAAGTAGCAGGTCCTTTCCGCCTCATTGCACTTCCAGAAGCAGCACCATTCAGATTCTGAGCAATAGGCTGTGGGCAAAGCAACACCAGCCCACCTGTGTGCAGGGCAGCTTTTGTAGACTATACTTTCATACACATGCTCTCACATAAAAGCAGATATTAAACTTTTTAACACACTTGCAAGCCACCGAGCATTTCTTAGCTGCTTGACTCTGAATAAATCTGCTGTTATAAGAAGATTCAACACTGAATAATGATTTCCTGCCACTGGCCAAGTTCAGATTACAGGCCACATTATTCATTTCAAATTCCACACAGACAGGATTTGATAGTTCACAACTATTACAGCATGTCAGGGAATCTTTAAAGTGGATACTGCTGCTGTCCAGAAGCTGTCCACATCATATTTGTGATATCCCCACAAAAAAGTTTTCCCAGCAAAAAGTTTGCAAATGCTAAGCGAACAATGACGCATCCTTTTTCTGTCTGTAACAGAACTGTTTCTACAGCGTCCCCTTTTACCGACAGTACTATTGTCGATCACCTTTCACCTCAACACTTGCTTCAAAACGTCACTGAAAACTGTAGCTCTCACAAAACTGCTGCTCTCATTGAAGGAAATAAATACTGTTACACATACCTGTCAATATTTGTGGACAGACCACAACCACAGCTTTGAGGTATGACCTGCACCATAATGATCTGAACTCAACTGAGGTCTTGTGCACCAGTAGTTCATCTACTTCATCTGTCAAACCCAAGGCCCGTGGGCCAAATTCGGCCCTCCACATCATCTAGTACGGCCTGCAGGAGCTAAAAAAGCATTTATTAAAATCCATGCAGAAGAGTGTCTTAACCTGATAAATTAAATTTTTCTTTTTGCAACGAACAACATTTGTAACTTGAATAATAATCATCAATGCAGAAACATTTATTAATACCTTATGGAGTTGTTACATTTATACAGTCTTCCATTTACAACCGGCCCTTCAAGGGGAACTGTACTGCTGATGTGGCCCCCAGTGAAAATGAGTTTGACACCCCTGATCTACATTGTGGTTTGACTTGTTATGCGTTCAGGGGCGCTCTTCTCCATTCCTCTGTTCTAATGAGTGTCTTTCCTGCCTTCTTATCAGCTTCAAGTGCCAGTCTGGCCATTCTTGTCTGACCTCTGGCATCAACAGGGGTTTTGCTCAGAGAACTGCAGCAGAGTGTTTTTTTTTCTCTAATTAGGACCATTCTCTGTTAACCCTAGAGGTGGTTGAACAGGAAAATCCCAGTCTTTCAGCAATCAAACATTCCTTTAATTTGAGACATTTTGGCTGAGGAAATCCAATAACAGCCTGTTATTATTGGTATTAATATAAGTGTATACAGTTTACTATTTTTGTAGCAGGGAAATTACAGAACTATAACAGAAATGTAGCATAAAACATTAAACAAAGCAAGTGGCATTAAAGAAGACTAATTTAAAATGTTCAACTGAGCCCACATCTAATTAAAAGCATGTCTAATTACCAGTGTCTAATCAGTTGCTTTTCTAACAGAATATACATTATGCACCACACTAGTCTGTGTGTGAATTTTAAAGATATTTCTTGTGATAAAAAGGAGGCGTTGAAATAGGCATTGATTCATTGCTGCAAGATCAACAATATTCATGAAAGTGTCAAACTCAGCGTGCTCTATCCGATGATATCCTTCCTCCCATTGCTATTATAGGCCATTTTAAGGTGACCTCCCCCTTACCTTCTTGGCGGGAGGTAATACATTTTGCCCACCTGTCAAAATACAACTGTTGTGAGCGGCTGCCACCCGCCTGCCTTCACTCTCCTCCTCACATTAAAGGCATGCCCCTCTATGGCAGAACCTCACCCCTGTCCTGTTGGATGTTTTCTTTCAGTCTGTGATAGTTTTCTCGTACTTTGGCTGTCAGCCTCTGATGAGTTGTGTGTCCCTGCACTGGTGCAACAAAAGCTTTTGAAGCATGAAGGTAGTCAATTGTCAGTCTCTTTGCTGAGGAAGGGTTTTTTTATGCAAACTCTTCAAGACCCACCATCAACAATGGCGGCATTACCTGCAAACCACAGAAAGCTCTAACTGTAAATGGACCATTGCCTCGGTCGTTCAGATTTTAGTTTATGATTTTTACTACAGTTGTGGGGTTGGCTCTCCTGCTCTCTGTGTTTGATTGGATTGGTGTTGTTTTTCTCTGTGCTGTAACCAGACACCCAGACGGCCAACCATTGTATGTTCAACCAAAGCGACACTAAACTTTAGCTCAGTAAATATAATCGCACATAATGTCACCGCCGCCCTGGAACATTGTGCAGTGCACTTGCAGGGCTGATACCTGATCCCTACATTCTTAGTTTTATGATACACTATATCCCTGACAAGGTCTCAGGATTCATCAAATGGATCCCTCCTTATCCCCATCTCAGTTGTGTGATAAGTAAGAGTAGCAGCAGAGAGAGCAGAGAGAAAATCAATAGCTAGTCATAGCATATCCTGACTGTAGCACGGGTCCAATCATCCCTTTGTACTGGCGATACGATCTGTAGACATATCAGCCTAATTCTGACGAGGCCCTGAACCATCAGCCTTGACTTTTCATCCCTCTGTTCACAAACATAAAAGGACTGGTATTATCATATAAAAAAAAGGACGAGCAGAGCAGCACAGGAAAAGACTGTCACAGAACCACACTCCATTACGGAAGGCACTCTCTCCGATCTGCAGGTGACTAATTAGTTTCATGTCTAATTGCACAGCATTTATTGTTCTGGCACTGTGTCGCCTGGCCTCCTGCTCGTAGTTTGGACTCTGTAAATCTCGGCATTAAGCTGGCAGTGATTTCAAATCTGGCAGAAAAGCCTTTAACTTTACAGAGCTGAATTCCCTGGTCCCCTTTTTAAGGGGAATTTCTCAGAGCATATGTTACCACTGCCACAAAAATTACTGCTCAATAAATTTGACACACATAGCAGTTTTATAAATATTTCTCTCTTTCTCTGCATTGATTTTTTTAGGTGCATGAACCAGCCTGAAAAGCCCAAATGGAGTCACTCTTGGTTTATCTGATGGTTCTTGGTGTGGCAGTCAAGGCGCACAAGGTTCAAATCTGTCCCAAACGCTGTGTTTGCCAAGTGCTCAATCCTAATCTGGCTACTTTGTGCGACAAAAAGGGACTGCTGTTCGTGCCACCAAACATTGATAGGCACACAGTGGAGATGCGTCTTGGAGATAACTTTGTAACCAACATCAAACGGAAAGACTTTGCTAACATGACTAAGCTGGTAGACCTGACTCTCTCTCGAAATAGCATCGGAACCATCGCCCCTCACGCTTTCAAAGATTTAGAGAACTTGCGAGCTCTTCACCTCGACAGCAACCGACTCACTCGCATTACCAACGACACCTTCAGTGGCATGTCCAAGCTGCACCACCTGATCCTGAACAACAACCAGCTCACCCACATCCACATTGGAGCTTTCAATGACCTCACAGCACTGGAAGAGCTGGACCTATCCTACAATAACTTAGAAAGCGCCCCGTGGGTGGCCATTCAGAGAATGCCCAATCTCCACACCCTCAACATGGACCACAACATGCTCAGCTACATCCCAGAGGGCACCTTCTCTGGGCTGCAGAAGCTTAAAAGGCTGGACGTGACCTCGAACAAGCTTCAAAAGCTTCCTCCTGACCCTGTCTTCCAAAGAGCGGGAGTCCTGGCCACCTCTGGGATAATGGGACCAACATCATTCGCTCTGAGCTTTGGAGGAAACCCTCTGAGATGTAACTGTGAGCTTCTCTGGCTGCGGAGACTGCGACGGGAGGATGATCTGGAGACCTGTGCCTCACCGCAGCACCTGGCTGGACGGTATTTCTGGACGGTATCAGAGGAAGAGTTCTTGTGTGAGCCTCCTCTCATCACCAGACACTCCCAGGTAAGGTGTGAATCGAACTGTGCGCTTTTAAGACATTGCACTTGCTTCTGTGACACTTTCTGAGCCAGACATTAGATTTAGCCTCATTTGAGCCAAGGTGGCTGGTTCCCAGACTGTCACACCATATATTATCATTGAGTGTCAGAGGAGTCTTCCAAGACTACTTTAGACCACATGCCGAACAGAATATTACAAAAATAACTCAAACTGCCTCAGAAATATTGCAAACTCTGGTGTGCAGAGCTTTTCTTGAGGTATCATTTTAATGAAGCTATTTGCAGTTTAAAAACGAATCCATGCTGAAGTGTCTACAGCAAAAGCAGTCGCTTGGTTATTGCAGCCTGTGGTTATTACAGTAAAATATAATTAGCCTATTGGTTAAATCTATGCCAAATGACTTCATCTGTTACATTTATAATTCTACATTTTCAATATAATTGCAAGGCAATTAAAAGAAATGATCTCATCCTCACACACAAATGTTTTGGTGTATTGTGATAGTTTCTTTTTGTGCAGCCTATATCAAAATTATGATGCGAATCAATTGTTTGTTTATTTTGGCTATATCATTTAAAACTTGTTATTGCCAGTTTGAGTGCCATAGTAAAGCACTCTTAGACTATAGGGCATTATTCAGCCAGTGTGCAGGTATGTCAGTGTGTGTGAATGGTACAATTCTGTGGCTAACTAAGTACATTCCCTATCCTACCTCAGGAGCTGCGAGCTCTGGAGGGTCAGAGTGTGAGTCTACGCTGTAAAGCCAGGGGTGACCCCGATCCCATTATCCACTGGATCGCTCCTGACGGACGCCTTATGTCCAATTCATCCAGGGCTGTGGTCCACACTGATGGGACGTTGGACATCCTTATCAGCACCGTTAAAGACTCTGGTGTGTTTACATCCCTGTGACTGTTTGTCTGTTGTGTTGACTGAAGGAAATTAGTTGTTTGTTTGTGTACACAGAAGTCTTTACAGGGCCTTTGCGCTTGACTGTCCCTGTGATAACGCGTAAAAGGTAAAATCCCGATCACGGTCTGAATGTCGTTAACTTTTTCACCTGCATTTAGAGGCGTTTGTCATTAGGACGTTGCTTCATCACAATCGTGAAAGCTTGAAGATTTGGATTAGAGGGCTGATATTATCAGCGTGCTTTCAGTTTAAATAAGACGAAGAAGCTAGTAATGTGCATAATTCAGAAGACATCTGCATTCTTAATATTTTATCCACAAAGTGCTTGATACACTTGAAATGTGAAATTACTGTCTTTAGGAATAGTTTCTCAGTCTTAAAAAAAAAGCAGATATTCCGTCCGTCCTTGTCTCCTCTGCCAGTTATTTTCTGTCAATTTTTTGCACCAGCTTTTGTTGCCAAGTTGTTTTCTGAGGTTGTTGATGACACAGCAACAGCTCTTTAAATGTGTGAGGGCGTTGGAAGTGACGTCTTGCATGTGTGGAGACAATAACAAACATTTTAAAACCACACCGCTGTGTTACAGTTTAATATATGTTGCTGCCTTGTAGCCATAGAAATCGACAACCCAACCACTTGGAAATATAAATGTCTGAAAATACCTCAGATTAGTCAGTTTGACAGGCATAAAATAGTTCTGTTGCACCAGCAAATGTGTTTCCCAAAGGGCTATTAGCCAGAAAATTGGAATATTTCAGCATGGTCTACAGGCATTCATTAAAATGAAGAAAAATCACCTTCTTCAGCAGTCCCCACAGCAGGTTACCCTCATTGTGATATCGACACACTGCAGGTTCCCTTCCAGACAGAACCCTCCCAGTTTGGAACCAGCACTATGTAGCTGGGCAGTGATCTGCACATGAGGGGACTTAAACCTGGACAGTCTGGAAAGGGAACAAAGTCACTACACACTGCGGTTGTGAAATCTGAAGAACAGTATCTTAAAGTGGCTTCTTTAAGAGTTAGAAAAACAAATCAAGCCAAAGATGTAGGAGTAGAATTTGACAAATACATTTAGCCCTGCAGTTCATTCAAGCAGTGTTTGGCAAAGCTTTATCAGAAATTGTTTAAAAGGATGGAGTGGCAGTGCCAGTGGCAAAAAAAATAAATAAAAGAAAATCTTAACAGGGACAGTAGAGAAAAAGATTAAAAAAGAAAGACTGAATTTATGATTTTATGCTGTAAAGATTATATTTGAAGTCCTGTCTGTATGCATTTTATTTTATGGTGTCATTTGTAATCTGGTCAAAAATGACAGAATTATGAGTTCCAAAATGTATTGCCAAAATAATAATAACCATGCAGAGTCAAATAGAACATACCCCCAGGCACTAAATTGTTTTTCTGCATATTAATGATCCCCAGCCCACTGCAGACTATACCCACAAACAAACTAAAATAATGTGACACCATATCTGTGATTATATTTAGGATAAACTCAAAAATGATTTTGAATTAAATAAAAATCATGGTAAACTTTACTTTGAGCCACAGATCATTAATTTCTTTTTTTTGCTTGTTTCTAGGCAAAGCATGCATTATTGTTTTGAAAGACCATGTAGAATAATCGACTCATTTTAACTTCGGCACAGCACTGCAGCTACTGTCACATTTTGGTTTCAGTACCATGTAACATTTTTTTTCTGGGTCTCAGCTCATCAAATATTCACATGCAGCCATATGCTGATTATTCACAAATCAATGTGCCAGACACTGAAATATTATCTCACTTACAACTTCCTGTAAACTAGATTGCTTTATTATTGTAGAGCATATTTCACACCTTTTCTCCAAAAGAAGAAAAGCCTTTATTTTTATTAAAAAGATATAAAAGAAAATGTCAAGATGCTGGTAGAAAGTATTATTTTCTTTCTCGTAAAGTCTGGCTTGTTTTCTTCTCTTTCCTTCACTTATTACGTTGAGCTTTAAGATATCTGGCTGCTGAATGTTATTCAGGCAGAAGTCGAACCACAGAGGTATTATAGATGCATAAAAAGCCAATACAATGACGCAGCGAGACACAAATTCTTTTGGTGTCAGATTGTGTCAATTAGTGTGAAAACATGTCTTTACATGTTGATTAATGTTTAGACAATCGTGCAGGGATGAGAGGAAAACAGGGACTGGAGGGAAATGTGAGAGGAGACAGACACATTCCCACAGACAGGGTTGATACTAGTTTCCAGCCATCATTACAGCTGGTCCATTGGCTGAATGGGAGTATAAACACAAATGACCAAGCTCTCAAATCCAGGGAATGGCACACACAGTAACCCAGCCAAGAAAGCAAATTAGTAATTAACAAAATGTTGTTCCTTTTCTGTGAGATATGATTGACTATAATTAGTTATATTACTAGCTTAGATTTAATGCTCGACGCCGATAATCATTTCCAGCTACAAGGCTAATATAACTGGTTTGTGCTGCAGGGTCTTTCACCTGTGTGGCCTCCAATCCCGCGGGAGAGGCCCAGCAGACGGTGGATCTGGTCATTGCCAAACTCCCTCACATTGCCAACAACACAGTCACAGAGCAGGAGCCTGACCCAGGATCATCAGATATCGCTACAGTGACCAAGACGGGTACGGAGCCCGGAGGGGTGCCTCTGGGAAACACCAAGACCAGCCACGAGAAGAAAGTGGTGACAGCTGAGGCCACATCCACCTCTGCACTGATCAAGTTCAACTTCCAGAGGAGTATTCCCGGAATCCGCATGTTCCAGATTCAGTACAATGGCTCATATGATGATTCACTGGTGTACAGGTGAGGACTCTAATAGAAAAGCACTTACTTGAAAATCCCCTGCCTTTACATTACATTGTGGCCTAAAGTGATTTAAACAAGCTTACTCAAATCCCATCTAAGTCTCCAAACCCTTGTTTTACCTTTTTTCCTGATGTTGAATGTGTGCATCTATTTTAGTACGTATTTAAGAGCAGCATCCGACTGTCACCGCCATTATTTGTGGTGTCTTTTAATCCTATCAGGAAAACAGACTAATGCACTGCATCTCTCGACTCCACAGTCTGGGACTAATAATCCTCCCTCACTGGAGTGAACCATTTACGATGTGCAAAACCTTGATAATGCCTAATCGACAAAATAACAACAGAATGTCGGTACAGGGCTGCAGACTGATAGGACCACAGAGAGGGGAGTCACACCATGTTTAACAAAGAGAAGAAGAATAGCACTGATAGATAAACCCTTTTTTTTTTTTGCATGCATAATGCAAATGAGTGTGATATTACACGCTGTACTGTATACGTTCAGTTAAGCATACACAGCTGTGTTGAAATGTTGCGATGCCAACTATCTGTGCAAAGTCATCTTGTTTTTAAAAAGGCGTAGGCTTATAATATAATTTAAATAATAATTTAATGATGATAAACCTGACAGTGACATTAAACAGAAGTGGATATCCAAGCACTAGAAAAAAACAGAAAGGAAAGAAAACAGTTCAGGGAGGCTGCCAAAAGTCCGCCATAACAATAAAGGAACTGCAGTTTGCTTCCTAGAGGAGTCATAAATTACTTAACTTCTTCATTTGTCTGGCCTTTGAAAGGTATTGAAAAACAGAAGCCATAATCAGACGACATGTAGCTTATCACCCTGTACTTACTGTAAATCATGGTGGTGGGAGCATCCGGCCTTGGTTTGTCTGTTTGTCTCCGTCTGTAACCAGTAGAAAAGAATTGGGATTAGTTATCAGTAATAGTCCATTCTCCGTATACAACCTGTCGATGTGTGCTGAAGATAAAGACTAATGTCACGTTTAACGTTGGTCAACAACGTACATCTGAATCAACAATAGACTGGCTTTAACAGATAAGAGATTAGAGTTTTTGAAAAAGCCCAGACAGATACTTGAAGAATGGACAAGATGTGCAATATTGACAGAACCCTATTATTAAGACCAAGTGCTGTGATAAAATCAAACAGTACTTTATCTAAACATTAAGAATATCTACAATTTTATTTTTCATTTTTCTACAGTTTGAGCAGTTTCCTGTTAGCAAACAAAATACATAAGGGAGACAAGTGTGTCAGGTATCCTGCATTCATAGCCAAGGAACAAAAACATTTTATTCTGAATATTGCCTCGAAAATTAATCAAATGTCACAGAAGATTATGTCAACAGGGCTAAATAGCCTCCTGAGTGATAAGGGATTGCAATGTCATTTTACTCCCTGCAAAACAATAAGCTGGATAATCTGATTTGCCTCTGTCTCATTTCATTTAACCCCCTGCTAATCTATGTAATAGCTTACAAATCTGTTTTTTTTTTCTCCAGGATGATCCCTCCAACCAATAAGGATATCTTAGTAAACAACCTAGCGGCTGGTACAAACTATGACCTGTGTGTGTTGGCCATCTATGATGACCAGGTGACCTCGCTGACTGCCACCAGGGTGATCGGCTGCGTCCACTTCACTACAGAGCCTCAGTATCTGAGATGTCATTTCATGCAGTCGCAGTTCCTTGGCGGCACCATTGTCGTTATCATCGGAGGGATTATCGTGGCCTCTGTTCTTTCTTTTATCATCTTCCTCATTGTGCGCTACCGGGTGTGTAACCAAGGAGAAGCAGATAAGGTCAGTTTGCCGTTGGTTCCTTTTGTTCTGTCCGTTTACGCTTCATTATCTTTCCTAAAATTGAAGCAGGGGTGTCTTAAAAATCCAACCCTTTCTCTCCCCCTTTGTTTGTATTTGCTGATGCCAGGCTCTGGAGATGGGGGACATTCGGTCACTGAGCAGTGATGGACAGCTACAAGGATGTGGAATTTCCAAATCCGTGTCCAAGCAGGTTCTACGTCCAGAAAAAAATGACAAAGATTGCATCAGGGTTTCCCTGCCCCCGCCCGAACCGACAAAGCAACATCCGCCGGTTGTTGTAGCGTCGACCAAAACATCTGTCCCTGACTGCACTGTGTCTACCTCTGCTGCAAGTCACAGCTGGCACCCAGCATCTCCAGGTGCTCTGAGGCCCAAGCGTTGCAGTGCACCACCCAAACACTCGGACGGACGCCGAGCTGAGGCTCAGGCGGACGTCGAGCTCAATAACATGAACTGCAATAACTCCTCAGATGTTAAAATGGCAGCCGCTGCTGCTTTGGCAGTCCCCGGCCAGCCCACCAAGTGGACTGCTGCCCACCGGGGTCACCGACCGCACCAGGCCAGGCATTACATGACTGTGCCTGCAGGGGGAGTTAGGGTCAACCGCAGGCACTCTCTTAATGCAGACTCATACTTTGAGCGCTGCTATGTAGCCTACCCCAAAACTGGGGCCAGTCTGCGTTCCAAGCGGAGCCTGTCCATGAGTGGCGAGCTGCCACAGCTTGAGAGCACAACAAACATTCACCAGGCCAGGGACAAGCTCTCTCGCTCTGAATGGCTGCTGGAGAGCACTTTATGATTTGGAGTTTACAACCTGCGCTTTCTTGTGTTCTTGGAGATATGGCCCTTTGAGAAACACGGGGTTTATGCCTTGTTTGGAGTTCTTGAGCCCCCATCAAGGGACATATAAGTTTATGACATATATCTGAGGACAAGGCAGGCAAACGGGGTTGTGGGAAAGGTTTCACATTTGTTTACCTTATAATATATCATATTTGATCAAACTTCAATGAAAGGCACAACAATGTATAAAACAAGGTCATGTACAAAAATGTTTAGTTGTGTGAGATACTGTATATCACAGTACAACCTTATGTGTTCATGTGGTATTGAATGCAGTAACCCGGACACTGTATTATAACAAAAGGAAGGACCGTGCAGGAGCGTTGCCTGTTACTCAAAAGGATACAATCTCTATAGACCTTGAATATGATTCTTGTCTCCAGCTTTACAGACAGATGGTGACACGTCTTATTTTCTGCGATGAGAGATTGCAAACTCGTTTCACATCCCAGAGGTGTTGGATCCCAGTGTAGGAGACAGACAGCAATCCATCTTTCCTCTACCCTCACTCCCAGACACAGCACAATGCAGCATACATGTGGCTCGAGTCAATTCAGCCCAATACTGCCCTCTGGTTTGAATCAATACATTTGTATCATGTAATTACATAAAGACTGAGCTCTGATAGAATTTCTGTCATGACTGATCTGAGTGACAGTGGAACCATTACCCACAGCATGACAGGTGCAGGGGAACAAATCTGATATCACAGGTGGATACGATCAGCACAAATGGTTAATTTCCATATTTTTTACTTACTGATGCTATCATGTCCTGCACAGTGACAACCATTGTAAATTAACTTGTCAATGTAAGAAAAGAGATAATCACACATATGAAAGGACACCAGCTCTTGATTTTGCTGTTGTTTCTGTTTGATGTTTATCAGTATAAATAAACCAGTGACAAAAGGGATGTATTTCTAATTTAATTTTGGTTTTCAGACTCCCTTGGGCATTGTCACGTCAGTTATTTTTTGTTATCATTAAGTGTAAGTCTGTAACTTAAAAGATATAGTCTGCAGTGTTCTGGTCATTAATATAGTGTTTTGGTCCGTAAACAGAGAGCATTGCGCTCCTTTTCTATCCCGCAGGTGGTGCTAATCCTATAACATGGTCAAAATTTTTTACACAGGACTTGTCAAGGACTGAAAGTTGTCCCCTGGACTTGAGGAACACACCAATTGGAAAGATGCATCTGATCATCTGGTTGGCTAAATATAGCACAAATTCCACAGTTCTATGGAGCTGTACAACTTCTACATTGTTGTGCTAAGACATTCAAGATATAGTATTTATGATATAGACAAAAAAAAAGTCCTCATCAAAAGAGTCGCTTTTATGTTGCCACTTAAAAATGTTGCTGTTTTAAACTGCCTGAAAAATATCCTTGGTATGTTTCTTTTTTTATTATTATTATTTGCAAGAAACAGTGACAGTTAAAGTGGAAATATCTACCAGTGGAAAATGGGCTAAGTTCACACTGCAGGTGAAAGTAAACAGCACCATTCAGATTATTATTTTCAAATTCAACACCAGTCCAGTTTCATATGTAGCCCTTAATCGGATACGTACTGCATGTGTCTGACCTTTACATCATTGAGGAGAGACAGAAGTCACATTTCTGTGCTGGAGCAAGGAGGACGTGGCATATAGAGTGTAAATAATGAATGGAACAACCATGAGCTTGTCAGTGTAAAGAACAAGATTGTCAAGTTTCACTGCCTCCCTCTCACCACCTCTTTTATGGAGATCGACAGGAGGTGGAGAAAAATGAGAGAGACAAAACCTAGAGAGCCGTCTGCTCGGCTACGGAGAGACCAAAGGCTCTCTGATTGATGGCCATGTTACTGAAACTATTTGACATTGATTGCAACTTCCAAAAATGATACATACATGCTGACATAAGGAGCATGAATATTTATACACATATGATCACAATGGTCACTTCAGGTCCATAAACCATTCAGTCAGTCGCATGAAAAATATATAATTAAAAAAACAGGCAAAACAAATCAGATCTCAGCAACAAAAAATCTGAATTGAGCAACAATACCTGCAGTGTGAATGAAGCCCTACACCCTGACGGGGGCAGAAAGAAAAGACAGTTGTGGCAGTTGGGTTTGCTTTGTGTTTGTGAACAGTAAGCAAAAGATGTTCAACTTGTTTAACATGTTGTGACATAAAAATGTTTTATTTAGATAAACTAAGATTAACTATCCCAGACACACCTACAGTGTGATTTTTGTTCGCTGGGCTCTCGACTTTTTAATAACAAAAAATGCTTGAAAGGAAAGGAAAAAAAATGAAAATGCAGACAGAAAGCTAATGAACTGCTAATGAACTACATATTCCTGTGACTCACTCACTCGACATTATTGAGAGGATTATATTATATATTATGATTTTTTTTTTCTCAGTTTGCTATTACAGGAAATTCAAGCCTACAATACCATAAAGATAAAAACAATAGAAGCGCCTCATAGTAAGGAGTGCTTCATCAGTCAGGGTGGTAATTAAGTTTGTGTTTTATTGGTTTTGCTGCGGCATAATTTCCCCTTCTCTGTAGGCTCTGGACCTCTGACGAATTCATGCCCCTGGTTCCTCTGTTGTTCAAAGTCAGGGAGGGGAGCGGATGATGAAAAGAAGCCTATGCTAATCACTAGGGGGACGACTCTTGCCTGCATATCTCCGCTCCCTGTCTGTGCCCTCGGAGAGAAGCCACTGCAGAACTCTGCTGCAAGAGAGGTTAAATACAACCTCCACAGTGGGAGCCCATGTACGGCTCATTCTACAGTTACCGTAACGTTAGCTTGAGAGCTGCAACGACATGATATGCATTCTCTGCTGGAATACAAGCTCCGACTCACTCAGGGTCTAGGTGATCGAATGCTGCCAGATTGATTTTTATATACATGCACTTGTGTACTCCTCCGCTGTATGAAACCTCTGGGGATGCAGCATATTGGCTGGATATACAACACTGTGCCGGGAAGATTTGTTCAGATGAGTTACACATACGGTATACAGGACATTAATTAATTGCTGTCACGGAAACTGAGTAGATTTATCTAGTATTTTCTGCTTGTTACGGGTGATTAGAATGCTGAGGAGGATGGTGTGAATCTTGGTTCAGTCTTTTGCTAAGCCAAAAGTGTATTTTAATAATAGATGCATGCAGGGAGCGGTAGTAGAGGGGGAGAGAGGAGGGCAGTGCAGTGAGGAGAAGATGGGATTTTGTGAAACAAATACAGCAAGGGAGGCGGCAGTGAAGCAGGGGTGAAGATGAAGAAAAGGGAGACGGAGAGAGATGTGCAGAGAAGAAAGCAAGACAGCTGAGAGATGGAGAGAGCGTGGTGAGAGGAGGAAGGCACTGTTAGCAGAGGAGAGGAGACTGGAACAGAATGAGGGACAAGGGATAAAGAGAGAAAGAGCATTCTTTTTAAGCCAACTGTTCAGCCTCTGGCTCGTCTGTATTCAGTGCACCTCTACAAAGGGTGAGGATGGAAGAAGGAGGCAGGGTGAGGGGAGGGGGGGGAGGAGGGCGTGACGGAATAGAGCTGGTAGGCCAGCAATGTGTAAAGCCCTGGGACATGATTACAACCACGTGCCCTACTTCCCAACACCTCCGAACAATGACTTGTTTTACAGATGTGTTTCTTGACCCTTGTCTAGTTTTCCTCCCACCTGCTCCACCCTCCATTGTCCTCTGCGCTGGAGACACACATACATTCTGACACATAGGGATGATGAAGATGCTGATTTTGTAAAAAGGGACCTTGCTGCTTGTTGTCAGTGGTCCTGCAGAGAACCGCTGATCGTTATACGTACATAAAGGATCTCTAGCAGAGAAAAAAAATCATTGATTTGCACCTAGCATCTCATAAATTGTTTCTTCTAGCTGCAGCTGTGCAAACACATAATCCATCATATCCTGTAGATATGTTTAAGTTTCTGGAACCATAGAGAAACTGTGCCGGAGTCAGGTTTCATCCCATAAATAGAAATCCATTTTCCTGCAGTCATCAACAAACCATGCATCGTATGACATTGTTTTACACACAAAACAATCGTTAGCGAAAATCTGTTTAATCTTTTGTGTTCTAAGTGAAATCAGTGTTAAACGTAAAACGTTTTTAAAAAATCTAAAACCATTCAAAATATATATTTAATTGAGTTTAAAACTGCTCCGCACGTCTCTAAGATTATCAAAATTAAAGATATATTTTAAAAATCCTTTCTTAAATTCCTATTCTTTTTTTAAATTGACTATAAACCTATAGTCAATATAACCAACAAATAGACTTGTAATCCTGAAGATCCTTTTTCTCAATCACAACCTACAATCAGTCTGAGCTTTTCAAATACACTGATGTAATGCACCAGGTTTTCAGCCTTTGTCACCAATTATTTTTCTTCAACAACTTCATCAATCCCCGGCTGATTAGTCATTTTCTTCTGTCAGTGCTAATGGCCTTTTTTGTTTTGCTCAAGTTTCGACTAATTTTGACGTTTCCCTACGGAGCGCTTAAATCAACATGGCCGTCCATAGCACAATTACCCGCTTTTAATGACATACACGTTTGTGGGGTAATATGGCATTGGGGCATTGATGTGACCAATTTGTGGTCAATTGTCTTATGAAAAGCAATCGTTGAGCCAATTTCACCAAAGTGAAAGCCCATTTCGATCACAGTTAGTTAGGAGTAACAGGAACGTTTAATTTAGGAACGCTGAAGTCCTTCAATAGTGTTTTAGCACCTTTAACTCTCAGCGCCGCAGCTTGGTGTTTCATTATCTTCACACAGCAGGTCTTCCCAGTCAGAGCCAGGGGAGACAGCATTTCCCGGGTAAACACTATGTCTGGTGGCACCTGGAGAGAGAGAGAGAGTGAGAGAGAGAGAGTGAGAGAAAGCCTGCAGGGCCTGGAGGAAATGTGACCAAAACACCACCGATACCTCCTCTCTCGGATGCTGGGGTGCAGTGTAAAATATGTGCAGGCAATCCTGAAGAGTATGCATTATTGAGAGGAGTAAATGGGTCCAGGATGAACATCATGGCTCATTAATAGTGTATGTGATCACTGTTTCTGGGAAAACAGCAGTCTGGGCGAGATAATTGAAATGGTCAAATCTAAAGACTTCCTTGTTTACTCAGCACCAACTGTTACTGTCTAGTCAAACTCATGACTAAAGCTCATAACTAATGATGCCAAGTGTTGTGTTACAGTGCTGTTAATACTCCCGCTCCAACATACCCCTCCATCCTTTCATGCCCTAGTAGCTGACCTCGGGGTTTGAATAGGATTTACAGATATACATTTTAATTTCCCATCAAGATTTGAAAATAAATGACAGTGCAATTTTTAAGAATCCACTGAAAAAAAATCCTAACTAAAGGTCAGACACCAGGAATGCTGAGTAATTTCCCCTGCTTGAAACACAGACTTATTAAATGACAGTGCATCATCTCATGTCTCAGACAGATTTGGTTTGACATGAACCCAAATTACCACGCTGCCCCCCTGAGGTAATTGCACGCTGAGCAAACAGCTGCTTCTTCTGCTTCCTCTCCTCTTCTTTACATCTGCTCGGGGATGATGGACGACAGAGAGGCTGGTTGTAGTTCACGCCAGACGTACCAGGCACCATTAGGAACCATTTTCTGGCCATTTGCCTGATAGCCGCTATCGCCTATAGAAGCGATTCGCTCTGTGTCTGCGCACTGAAGGTCCCAATGATGGATCTCACATTGATTTGTTGGTGTTAAAGATCAGTGAGTGAAGAGTGCAGTCAAACAGATGTGCCAGCCTGCTTCAAACTCTGCATCAGGGCTGTTCAAGAGGGGGACAGTTTAAGCCTCTTTGAGGATCCCATTCACAGTGACTTACTAAAAGTGCTTATAATAATCTTGTTATCGCCCTAGGCTTCTAGTGGGCCTAATGGAGGATAAGAAGCTGTTGGGTCACGGGCCACATTATTTTTCCCTGCGATTGAAACTAAACAGGAGTGTTGCAACAAGAGTGGGAGATGCAGGCTATCGCCACTGGCTCTGAGCCGGGAGCAACCCCCCCCAGAAATGATTACAGAAGCCACGCCTGCTGTGTTTAGCCTAACAGAGTCTGATGCACTTGCATTTGACAAATATACTCTTCAGGAAGAGTTCTCCAGCCTTTAAGCAACCCAATTGGTTATTTTCAATCCTGTGCTCCAGCCATTTCTTTCTGTATATCCAGAGGAGACACATTTATATTCCCGCACCACTGACTCCTGACTGTGTGTCATTTCCTTTGGGATTACCTTATTTGGCCCGCTCCTGTTTCCTAACTGTACCGTAGGTCACAAACTGACCCCAGCTTAGCCAAATATCACAAACATGAATCCATATATTGAGGGTGATATTCCGCTGTGTGGTGCCAGGAACATTAAAGATTTATCAGAACAAGCCCAGATTTGTTAAAAAAGAATTTCAACCCCATCGGTAATTTTGAATGTGAACCATTTCAGACTTATTGTACATTTTCTGTACACAACTGTGTTACACAGAGAATTATTATTTTAATAACAGTGAGGAGAAAACAAAACACTAAAGATGTAAGCAAGAACAAAGAAACAAATTCAAGATGGTTTTAAAGCCTCTGAAAATGTTTCTAAATATTACCTGGAAAGAAAATCAGCAGTACATACTTATTTAATATCATATTACGATTGTAATAATCTGTTGTTGTTTAGATAAAACCAATAGGTAAATGAGCCGTACTGGAAGAATTCACCTTCTTTCCTACTTTCAGGTTGAAACATAAACAGTGGTGACCACAGACCTATGCAGACTGCTCTATATTTGGATATCCACAAGAGACAAGAAAGATCGGTTAGAAGCCCATGACTAAACCCAGTGGCATTTGCTTACTTCAACTCTGTTCAATGTAGGTCTGCCCTGTGCCTGGGGCATCTAAAGTCTTTGGAAATGCCCCTGAACCTAATCTATTACATGTGATTGCGTGAAAGTCTGCATAATTTCTCCACCCTCTTACAGAAGCCTCCTTTCAAACTGGCTCACTGTGGGATTGTTAATGGACTTGATGGCTGACTGCTAATATTATTTATTAGTGAGAGTGACTGTGTCTACGTGTGCCTTGTTAAGTTGGAACATCAAACCATGGTGTCACATTTAACATTAATTTCATACAAATTGGCTGTATAGAGAGCACAAGAGAGCCCGCATGGGAATGTGGACAGGAAGTAACATTGCAGTGGCATCGAATCTGCCGTTTGATCAGTTGTCTTCCACTGCAGCCGCTGGGACAGAGCCGTCATGGGTAGAATTGAGAATGTCAGGTAGCTCTTCATAAACAAGTCTCTAAAGAGGCTTTGATCTGAATGGCTCTACACGGTTTGTGAAGTAGGCCAATCACGTCCCACACAGCAGTACAGTGGCTGATTTGAAATGTAGATGGGCAAGGTCTTTTGAAAAGACTTCACCTTTAGTGACCGTGTGTAGACGGCGAGGGCGACGTGACATGGATCCTAAAATGAAGCATTAATCAAATAAAGGTCGATTTGTGATTGACGCACGGTGGATGAGGGGGCAGGGACCGAGATACGGGGAGTGGGAGAGGGAGGAGGCGAGACTGCTGAAGACTACAGATACTGGACAATCTGGACCTTAGAGCAAAGAAAAAAGGGAACAGAACATTGATTTCGGGCATCTGCTCTATAAAACATTAAGTTAACTCAAAGCTATTGGAAGTGGAGAAGATGCTGAATACAGAGTGAAAAACTCATAACAGTTAAATGCTGAGTGTTACACCAAGGGCTATTCACAGACCGAAGAACTCCAGACTTAAAAACACTCAAAACAACCACGGGTGAGGGACACTTTTATCCTCTTTACTGTGGAGATGAGCTCTGAATAAGTGTACAAATATATTTTTATTGATGAGCTCTGATAAAGAGGTGAAAGAAGTACTCACATCACCAACAAAGTATTATCTGTAGTATTATCCTCACATAAAAACATGTGAGATATGAAACAAAACAGACTTATATATAAATGAATACAAAAAGCAACAACTCCTGCTTTGCATTTCATAGCTGACATACTAAATGTATATGTATAAATGTATATTAAATTTAATACAACAACAAAGAAGGTGGTAATTTTCACATTTTTCAGATAGTTTTTACATCAAAAATTGAATCCTCCTCACTAAACAATTCTGTTTTTATGCCATTGGGAAACATTAAGCTTGCAAAATATATCACTAAATTAACTAACCCTAAATGCCATAATAATAGATAAAAAAAATTACTTTTTAAAATATTTATATCTAGAGCTTAGCTGGCAATACATACATTTATAAGAACTTACAAAAGTCAGTTGGTTCAGCTTTCACAATTGTCTTAATCTAACCAGTAAATCATAAAATATTCAGTACACTACATAATTATGCTGCACAGGGAAAATAATATTTTTAATAATATTACACAACTTATAATAATACTCCTAATAGTTGGACATGAATTAAGTGCCACTTGGCCATGAAGCAGGAAAGCAACCAGCATAAAAAGAACAAATTTAAAATATCTTGGGTTAGGTTGTAAAAATATTTCTGAATGTTGTCTGAAAAATTACTGACATGTTTGACAGAACAAATCCTCCTGTTTAACTATTATCATTTTGCCTTTTCACACTATACATACCATATAATAGTAGAGTCACTCACATCCAAAGCTGGCCAAAGCTAAGCTAGCACTTCCTGTTTCTAGTGCCACAGCCTCTAAAGCAGGTTCAGGTTGTGTGTTGGGAGGATGTCATTCCCTGTGTTGCAGGAGCCTGTGGGGGTGGAGCTGCAGCCTGATTACAAATGCAGAACACCTGAGGAAGTTGCAGTGGGAGACCATTAAGCAGGCATTGGTGTTCTTTCTTTATTAAATCTATATTATTTTCAGTGGACTTTGTGTGGCTTCCCTTCTTTGTCATAGTAGAGTAAAATCAATTAAAATGAACACAAAACATCTGCAATTTTCAAAAGAGAAGAAAATAAATAACTACGTAAATAAATGAATAGCCAAGAGACAATTACAATTATCAAAATGTTAGGGACAGGTCCAGGTATCTGCAAAAAAGATAATATTGTACTGTGGCATACAGGACTCTGCAGACTGCATAAACAATAATGTGCACTCGTAGGCATGCACTGTAAAAGCTTGTTCCTGCAGTTTTTACTGCCTGTACTTAATCGTGCTAATTCTATAAATGTGTATCTGACACACAAAGGAAATGCGTGAGACAGAGACATGGGAGCTGAGGTAAATTGATAACGGCAGTCTATAAAGTATTAAAGGTAGACACAGACTCTGCAGACGAGGAGACTGTAAGTGAGATGAAGGAACAGTAAAAAGGCAAGAGCTGAGTTAAACCAGACACATTTCTCAGTTCGTCTGTGGAAAAAAGATGGCTATAAAATAACGTAGACGTTGTGAGCATTTTAAAACATGTGTAATGAGCGTTTTACAGGGGTTGACGAGCTGCTGTACTGATGCTGACATGTAGGGTGGAGCGTTGCGTTTAACGTCTACAGTCCTGGTTTTCACAGGGTTTCTCGGTCTCTCCCAGTCTCTCTCGCGTTCGTGCACTCACACACATTTTCACACATGCTCACACTCACACTCTCTCCTCTGTTACCTTGGCAACATATTTTCTGCATGGAAATAGCCTCTCTTTTCTATGCCAATTGGAAGAAAAAAAACACTTGAAGAGATTTAAACATGTCTCAAACATCAGATCCTTGATTTGTAGATTTGACCCTGTGTACTGGATGGAACTGAATTATGCCGTTCTGTATGACTTACCATCAAACGGACTGTGTGACCAAGCAATGGGTTTGTTAAACACAGCAGCCGCTGACAGGTGTTATTACAGCTCCTGTCATTCAGGATGAAGTGGAAACCAGAGAAGTACGTGTGTCTGAATAAGTACGAGTGATCGAAACATATTTAATCAAAGACAGAAAGATTTTGTGGGGAAAAAACAAAACAAAACACGACTGATGGTCTGTGCTTGATACAACTGTGTGTTTACTTTGGTTGGCTGTTTCCCTCGGGTTTTATTTATACGTAACACTTCATGACTGTAAACTGCAGCTGCTGACAAGCAGAGCAGCAGGAGTGTTATTAAGGGATGTTAAATAAACAACTAAGCTGGAGGGATGAAGGTACGTATGGAGGAATATCCCAATTTAGCCTCCTAACACTGACAAAAGGGTTAGAGGCAGCAACCCTGCACATCATCATGTCGAGGCCAGCTTTTATGTTTCAAGGTGATGTAGTGTGCCTTTGTTTGCTTTGTTTGTTTCCGCCAGAGCAGACGCGAGAGACAGTGAGAGACTAGAGCAAAAATATTCAGGGGTTGTGATTCTAGGTGATATCACACAAGGCTGGCTGCAAATAAGCCACAATTTGGCCAAAGCAAAGGCTGAAAGGATAAAATGTGAATAAAAACCAGGTAAATGTGCAGCACAGGATTTTGGAAAGTGCAAAAGAAAGAAAAACCTTTGGCTCCTGGGATCGAGACTGCGAGAGAAGCCATAATGAAATAAGCATCTGAAAGAGAGCAGGTGTTGGAGCCTTGACAGACTTCAGCTGCATAACAAGTAGTGCATTTACTCTCCTCTGCCTTTGTCAATCAAAACAACCAATCTAGTGAATAAAAGCTGCCACAGAAAAACTAGTGGGATTATACCTGAAGCAATATTCCTCTCTCTTCACACACATACAAGCACACACACCGAAAGTGTGAAAAGTTGGTTGTAGTTAGATGCAAAGAACACCTGCTTCGGAATTTTAAGCAGCAGATCTGTGATGTTGTGAGTTTAAAAAAGCAGATATGGCATCAAGAATTGACTTGAGCTAAATCGATTCAGAAACTCAAAGCAACACAGAGAAACCAGTACCATGGACAGCACCATCTGCGAGCAGGGGTCAGTAGAAGCTAATTACCAGTAGGGGGCAGCGGTGGTAATGGACCGGTATGGATTCTGCAGCAGGAGTTCAAGGATCAGACCAAAGGGCAGGACCTAGAAAGGATGCTGAGAAAGGCAATGGGGTTGGTCCTGCTGTGTTGACAGAAAAGGAAAGTAACAAAGGAGCTAAGAAAAGTAGGGACCCAAAAATAAACATTAGAAATCCCAGTAGTAACGAAAACAAAAGGATAATCATTAATATAACGATACACTATCAGTGATATACAGACACCCATATTTGCAGCCCTACTACTCTACTACAGAATGTATTTTCTCCATGGGCCTCTAAGTTTTTTAAATTAGTGAGGATGCTACAGGTACAACTTAAGATAAAGTTGTCATTTCAAAAAAAAGAAGAAAAAAAATCAGTTACCAGTGTTGCATACTAACAATTCCATTGTGTGTGTATGGAGAGGAAAAACAGAGATGAAAAGAGTCAGACTAAAATGTTCAAGGATTTCCAGGGCACCCCACGAGATTCAGCCTCAGGTTAAAGGTCTGAACTCTTCTGTGGTTTATCCATGTGTAAAAATCCTGACTCATGCTGAAATAACTCTGAGACTATTTGAGCCTGATGACTTCTGGCGTTGTCAGTTTGGTATATGTATCAACAGGAAAGAAAGACTTTGAAGTAAAAATCCTTCTACAAGTGTCTTCACACTGATGTGAGCTGACCTTAGTTTTTGGGAACACAACATTGCTGAACCCATAACTGACCAAAGGTTGCAAGTCTAGAGAACACCAGAAAATCCCACAGGCTCGTCCAAACTCTACATTTCCCGGCAAATTGAAACATTTTCCCCGATTAGCTTCACTGATTAATGGTTTTTCCTAAGGCTATGGAGCTGCTTAGTCCCAATCCATTGAGTTCTCCTTGTATTGTGTGCGAAAATGCTCTTACTCACATGATTAAGTACCGCCATGAGTTCTGTTGATGATTTTCCATGACTTCATGGTAAGGATTAAGCGGTAGAAAACAACAGATTCACAATGGAATTAACATTTCCATTTTTACCTCCACAGTTGTGTGGTGGGGTCTTGGATGTACGTGAAGATACTTTACAGCCACTGTCAGAATTAACATAAACATACCTACTTTATGATTTCACTTCTTCACCTGCATTTAAATGCACGTCTAAACAACCAAGCACTTGACAGCAATGAAATTCATTTAAATATGTAGCTAAGATAATCCTGCAGTTCTAAGCATAAATGTTTCTGAAAGGTGATATAGGGGACTTTGGCTCGGTGTAGAGGATTTAGTCAACGTGGTGAAAATGCTGATCTACTAAGATTTTACTTTACTTTCCTGTCTTTTTGTCCAAAGAAAGGTCCAAAGCAGTGTTTGTTAAATATTATTATTATTATTGTAGAATTTACAAAAAGGTCAACCACTGTATAAAAAGGTGTTCCTAATGTAGTGGCCTGCGTGTGGGCCACACAGTTATGTGCAGTCGTTCCTGGTGTTTTATGGCAGCTGGCACTTACAATGTTGCATCACTGCCCACTTCTATTTCCTTTACCTCTTCTTCTCCCCGTGGCTGATGTACAGCTCTGTTATAAATGCATTTGGCTGTTTCTCACAAGTGACAGTGCCCCACTGAGTTGTGTGCTGTGAAGGGACATTTGGCATTCCTTAGATGTGAGCGATGAGAGTTGGCTGACAAAGAGCGCAGCATTCAAGGTACTGTGGGAATACCGGTGGAATAAAACTGGTGCTACACAGAGGATGTCACAGCATTAAAATTTGCTGTTTGGCAGGATACTGAATTTGTCTACTCCAAGGCCGTGTTCAATATGAATGATGACAGAGTGGCTCTCATATGCAAAAACACACTCCTGGGCTTTTGACAATTAGCCGTTTTGTTGTGACACATTATATTTGTTTTAAACATGAATCAATTTAAATATTATGATCATGTTGGGGGATTTTAACACACCTCAAACACCGATCAGCGTCCTTAATGTTATTAACCTGAACCTTAATTATCTAGCAGTGTAGAAACATATTCATTGTATTATCATGTGTATGTGCCATTCAACCAAAATATATACCGTGATCAATTCACCTCTAGTTATATATTGCCTGTACAGGGCTCTGTGTTTAAATATTTGTTTTTGAAGTATGCCACTATATTTAGCCATGTCCTTACACCCCAACTGTGACAAAGTACATATTTAATGACATGTGCTTTTATGTTTTTAGGTTGATGTTGTTATATTCTTGACTTTTGAGTTGAACTTTCCAAACTTGATACAATAGACAGGTTTTTATAGCTTGTATTTGTAACTTATATAAATCACAGGAAAAGCAACAATAACCTCTGCATCAGTTTAGGTTTGGGACTAGCACTACGGGAGAGCGAGGCTTTGGTCCTGGGATTAAGTGTCTTGCCCAGGGACACAGGATATGAAGCTAAATTTGAACCCAAGCGTTGTGAGTGGACATAGACTCCCTCCTGACTTACCGCTCCAATAGCCCGACACACATACTTACCACATTTGATTCAAACAGTGCTGACTTACAGTAGGTGTCCTGCGCAGTCCTCTCCACAGGAAACACATCTCAGGGTTTTACAGTAGTTTGGCATTCTTTTGTAGCATCACTACCACCTTTTGATCATCTCCACTTCTCAGCTTTTCACCAGTGGCCGAGTGATGTTTTTGTTGTTGGATCCGTCAGTCTTTACTGATCCTTTGTCAGTTCTCTCTGTGGCCGCTGCCAGTCTTCTGCTGCTACACTGCCATCCGCTGGTCAGTTCTTCTCCATCTTGTCAGCTTAGGTCACAGCTTTTCTTTTTTTATTTTTTTTCAAAAATCAGCTACAGTCATGTCTTACACAGGGTCTACTAGAAAGAAAAGGGTCTCAAAATTCTACAAAGAGAGCTTCACCACTCAGTACAAAACACATTTAAGACAAAATATGAATACCTGTTAAGAGAGGGTTGTAGTGACCCATTTTATTGTGGGCAGTGGAGATACATGTGTGTGTAAATATTAACAAAGGAAGGTAATGGATGACATCAGTACATTACATTCTAACATAGAAATTGATGGTCTCGCAGTCAGTTCGACGTATGTGTCAGATAGTTGGGATGGGACGGGCTCTGAATAAGTGTTTATGTCTCATCTGTTTGTGTAAAGACAGTTCATAGAAAATATAAAGCAACTGATGACTAAAAGTTAAATCTGTTAACACTTTAAATCACACCTCTAACTATGTCTACATAATTTCAATACAGCCATACAATACAAGTATACAAGATTATTGTGTGGTTAGAGAAAAATTCAACCAAGGAGGGTATGGAAATGCAAACATAGTCTTTTTTTAAAAACATTTCACACAAGGCTGATGCCTTTTTGTAATATGGTGCAGGACAGAAAGAGGGGAAAAAAAATCACAATCACAATTTTACCAACCGTAGCCCAAGTCGTGTGTACAATATGCACACCCGGGGAAAATAAAAACTATGCAAGAAAATAAAAGGACTCATGGACTGCTGCTTCTCACTCTGGTAAAAATAAGTCTCTGACGCGTGTCCACGAGTTCCATCTCCTGGCAGCTGAGCGCCACTGAAGAAACAAAGGTGACCGTGTTGCCTTGGTCTTTGGGGAATAGTCATCCAATATGACAGCAGAAGAAAGGGGATGCAGGGAAATGAGTCAGTTTTCAGTGTTTCTTTTTTTTCATCTGTCAGACTTTTGTTTTATAAATCAATTAAGTCTCAAGCTTTTTGTTCCGGCCTCGAAAGAGGTTTCATGTGTGCAGCTAGGGTGCTTTTTGTTTCCCGTCAGTGTGGCCTGACACCAGCGGGCAGGTCCTCATTGGTTATTTTTGGCTTTGGCGTGTGTCAGAATGTGAGACTTTAGGTTGGTCGACTGGGCAAACTTCTTATTGCAGCCGTCAAACGGGCAGACGTAGGGTCGGTCTCCAGTGTGGATCCGCACGTGTGTGCGCAGGTTGAAGTCCAGAGAAAACCTTTTCCCGCAGCCCTCAAATGTACACTGACAGAAAAAGGGGAGTGTGGGGGGGCGGGGGGGTTATTCAATTAAAAATGTTGTTTACTCTTTACACCCAACAAACCATCTAATTACCACAGAAAGCACAAATGCAACCACAGCGTTTTTCCTTGTAACTATTGTTCTTCTTGGACGTAGTGTACAAATATCACCATACTATGCTTCAAACATTTAGCCCATTTGCACAACCATCTGTTTGCCAGTCTGTTACCTTCTCTTTGACAAAAAAATTGATGAATTGTTGCATGTATTAAACATCGGAGTTGTAATTTTACAACATGATTCATAATCTCCCATCGAACAGCTTTGTGTGTTTGCTGCTGAAGATTTTCCAATATTTTTCCCCCTAAAACTGATGAATATTAATAATATTCCAGCATTAGAAATAACTTTAAAGGGTTATGCTAAAAAATTATGTAAGTACCAATTAAGAGGCTCTGTGGCAACATATAATTTGTAACTTTTGAGGTCACAAGATTATTACCTAATAAATAGCAGATACCACAGAGTAAACATGTTCCCCTAATGTGCAGTTCACTGCTTGATCTATTCATGTTAATGTAGTCGGTTTTCAGTTGATTTCTGCTCTACATTAAATGCATGTGTTCTGTAGATTTAAAATGTCACAGCTGGGTTTAGGCAGAAAGACGTGAAGAGGAGAAGATTACAAAAACACCCATCAATTCAAATATAAAGGACTTTCACGTTTTAGACCTATGGACGTTCTGATGACAGGTTTCAGACACAACAGTGTGACACATTATTTAAGGAATGAATAGACCACTTCTTTTGAAACCGTGGCCTCTGTGCCCTCATTACAGCTACATACTGATGACTGGTCTGATCCTGTCATACCTGTAAATTGTGTCAGTATGCATAACACCGATAATCTTGACGGGCCTGACTACAGTAATTATGTGCGACAGTCACAAGAAAAGACCTTATTTACCTGTCAAAATATTATTTTTTAACTGACATGTCTGTAATTATAGTGAACGGGTTTAATGCAAGGGCTGTTAGAGCTGTCGATTTATTAAGATACAGTCAATAGTGCGATTTTAGTTATTGCACTGTAAGTAGTTTAGGCCAATGTGTTTCATTTCACTCTGATACAGCTGTTAAGTTTTCCAAATACCAAGTATGAACAGAATCTTATTTAACATAGCTGATCTTATTATTATTTTTCTCTTTTTGTGCTTCTTCTTCTATTATCCACAGTGACGTGTGGTTGGTGGGAGGGGCACTCCCCCTCTTGCGCAGAAACAGTCATTAAAATTAGCATGTTACACAACAGCAGAAACAAAAATCTTGTACCCTTAATAAGTCACATTATACATGGTTTCTGGTGAGATGTAACTAGAGAAGAGCATCATCATCATCATCATCATCGTCATCATCATAGACTGATGCTGATGATTAGTGCGCCCTCTGCTGAATTATGTAATGTTGGCCCGCATCTCTGATTGGTTACACTTTTTATTCATTCATGCTATTAAGCTAGATGGTAATGAGTCAAAAGTGTATGAAGAAGTAAAACACTATTTAATTAATAAATACTGACCTGAAAGGGTTTCTCCCCTGTGTGAACGAGTTGGTGGCGTTTAAGTTTGGAGCTCTCAACGAAAGCTTTGCCACACTCCGCGCAGACGTGAACGCGGGGGCCGTGAGTGTGGAGATGTTTCCTCATGGCTGAGTTATCCCTGAACATCTTTGTGCAGCCCTGGAGCCAAGAGAAAGAAAAGCAGAACAACGTTGACCAACAGCTTGTTGCCGCGTTCAAGACAAACACAATAAGGTTTTTCTTTTGTTTCACTCTATAAAAACCTCTCCTTTTATTTTACACTTCTGGTCCTGGTAAAAAAAAAAATACTAGCCTGACCTGCGAAAGTAAAAATTATATATTGGATCATTTCTTTTGCAGACCTGCTTCAGCTCAAATATAATCTAATCATTTAGAGCGAGAACATCTGTCTAAGCCAAAGCTGTTTTACAGTAATGTGTGAATTTTGACTGGGCTGTTTCAAAAGGCAGATTTTCTATGTTTGAAGTCATTCTGTAGCAGATTGACTTGAGTGATCGGGTCATTTCCTAGCTGTATCAAACAGCTTCGACAGAGCTGCAGCTGGCAGTCGGCCACACCAACATTATCCTGTAGGACACCCTGATAAATTTAGATTATTTTCCCAGCTCAATGATTTTGAGCTCTTCAGTCCAGAAGCAGATGAAATAACCCGTAGACATTGTGAGTTCGTGTTGCTGTGCAGGTTCAACAACTCTTGTTTTGTTTTTTTAAGGGATTTTCAGCAGTATCTACCTTCAGGCTGTCTTTTCCACCAACATCATGTACAAACAAACCAAACACTATTAATTATTACTGGTAGACTTTCTTAACGACCAATTAGCCAGATACTGCAAGAGTCTCTTTTTATTTATACAGTGCACTCAAAAAGCGTAGGAGTGAGCATGACAAGTTGTTGAATGGATTTTAACAATTTCATGTTTTGTTTAAACAACAATTCATGTCTTCTGAGACCTGTTTCCTGTAAGACACGATTTACAAGATGCAAAATCAACAGGTTCCTAATCCAGATGGCAAACCCATGCCTTTGAATCCAAGATTTTACCCCATAATATTTTTTTAGCTTTAATACATGTAAGTTGAAACATTTTTTTCCACATTAATAGCTTCAAGATGCATATTTTTAGTTGTTACTAGTTCTTTACTAGTTTTATTTCTATGTATAAAATACATGTTATGTAATATAAATTAAACCATAAAGATACAACAGGGTTCAGTTACTAGCCTTCTGTGCTACATTTTCTCATGTTCATGTAAAGCATGTTCCTGTCAGGGAAACACACAGTGCTGCCTTTATTCTCCTGATGATATAATGTAGTGTTTTTACACCGTCACACTCACACAGCAGCCAGCCACATTATAAGACACACTGAAAACCATTTACATTCGCTAAATATGTATAGCTCCAATGACGCCTTGTTGTTCTTGTAAGTACATGAAAATGACTGCACTCCAGTGCTTTCATCGCTATTTAATAACCCTTTCACTTTCATACTTCAATTACAATGAGATTTAGAATGTTACTGTTCACTCAGTAGCAGAAACCTCATCTGGGGGAAAAACATTTTCAGACTCACTTTATGAGGGCAAGCTATCGTCCGTGGCGCGTCGTCCTCCTTGACTTTCCTGGGTTTCATTCTGTTAAAATAAATAATTAAATACGGTTTAGCAATGTCAAAGGTCAAGCTTATAAGATCTAATATGGTGCCAGAAATTCAATTTTTGCATTTTGTGTAATTCAATATATGACTCTAAAAGTTGTGTCTCTGAATGAACGTGACTTTAAAGATACATTCTTTGCAAAATGCACAAAAGAACAGGCTACTACCTTTAATAGCGCATGTGGATTTTTTTTTAACTATGCTTAATTTGCAGATAATGAGGCTCCAGCGCAATCCAATTATGGACTATGGCAACTCAACTGTGATAAGAGTCAACAACAGCAAACAATATAGGAAGAGTTACAAATCATTTTTGCCAATTTACACTTGCTGAGAACACATTTACATTCTAATGCTACAATCACATGCTTGTTTACTTAATTGCAAAGCCGATAAATATTTAAACCAACTTTTCATTTTAAAGGTATGTAAAATTTCAAAGGTCGCATGACCTTCACAAATGCTGACATCGTTAGGGCTGTTCCGTTGACAGCATACACTCCATAGGCCAAAGCAATTTCAATAGGTCACTTCAGTATTAACTAAAGAGCCGATGGGCCTTTTCTGACATTTTACAGAGAAATAATTAATTGAGCTGATGAATATTTAATCTTTTCACTCTGACTAGGATGGTTTGGTGTTTTGTATTTAATAAACTAGGCTAATAATTATATAATGATGCTTAAAAATTTAATAGCCGTCCGGTACTTTGTTGTTACTTTGTGTTTCCGATGCTTTCCCAACACAAAAACAATAAAGAGCCGCTGTGTGCATACGTTTTAATAATTCAACTTATTAATTATACCAAAATAAAAAAAACTTTTTTTTCAGAAGGAATGATTTTGATCAAGATATGTTTGGTGGTGAGATGACAGCTGCTAATGAATGTAGTTAACCCTTTTGTTATATTTTAATGCTATATATTAAGTTAGATTCAAGATGTTTGAGTATAATGAAAAAATATGAACAGTTGACATAAGAACCTGTCTTGTTAAAATTGCTCCAATCTCAATACTTAATGGAAAGGATGCACGTCTTTCATTAGAAACTCCACAGGCCTTTTTAATTTATTTTCTTAAACATGCATGATTTCACTCCATGCTGTAAAACAGGCTCCTGTGTGTTTTAGGCTTCTGTCTAATTTATTACAAGTATCTACTGTAAAGCCTATTCAGCTCTACTGGCTTCTCTGCACTCTAATCAATATGGCCACAAATCCTTCTCTGGCAGCTTGTTTTAGTCAGAAATATGCAGCCATGCAAGAGGTACCAGAAACCAGCGGACCGCATGGTTGAGAGCTTAAAGCACACATCACTTCATATAAACCTGACAATAACATAGTCAGTACTTGTTCTTAACAGTACTCACCTGGCAAATTCTGCCAACTGCTTGGGGTCCGACAGGTCGATGCCTGGGATGCCACCGGGGGGCAATTTCTTCCCCGTCATGTACTCGGAGTAATCTGGAGGGGAGTTCTCCCCGACGATCTGCTCCTCCACCACTGACTCATGGTCAATGTCTTTATTGTCATCTAGGAACACATTACAGAGACTGAACGGATAACAAAATGGTTTTTCCTACAGATACAGTTGTGAGGGACAGAAACATCTGCAGCCACATTCACTAAATGTGACACTTTTTAAACCAACTGGCAGTGAGTTTACCACTAATGCCAGCACTGGAGATGATTATGCCATCATTGTTCATCATATAATAAGCTGCATACAGTGAACAATGTAAAATAAACAGTCATTATTTGGATGCAAATAATACATTCTTAAAATACTTAACCTAGATTTCCCTCAATATAAAATACTCAGAAAAGAAACGCACAACACAAACAAACTGTAAATGTCAGATCAAGTCACTTCAGCTGGTAGCTTTCATCCCGTTCGGCAAGTTAATTAAGATGAAGGACTAAACGGGAAAACATGTTGGTGTCACAACATTATCATCATTACTTCAAGCGCTGCTGCGGACTTTTTGACAATTGTTTCAAGCTCGTTTTATCCCCTGAGAACCAGAAATAGCCACTTTGAAACAGTGACACAAGAATGTGCGGTGTATGAAAAAAACAAAAAAACCCAGTTTGCAGTAAATAGAAAGAAATAACTCTGCTAACTGTGCTGCAGCTAAATTAGGTGTGCAGGTGCACTATGCTGCTGCTGTGTCTCTTTACACATGCTGCACACGAGACTGCAATACTGCACATTCACCAGTGTAAAACTGTACCATCTGTTTTTGCCACCTGTTTTACTGATAATTACCACCCTCAAATACTAACAATCTTACCAACAATCAGTTGATTTAAAAATGACCCGACACATTTGCATCATGTTATGTTATGTGTATATTATTTACTATAATTATAGGAATAGTTTGGATGATGCTAACGTATATCACTGTTTGAAATTAACATTAAAGACATTAGGAGGGATGTATTGATAAATAAAAATAAATTTTATTTATACCTTTGAATGTCATTTCACTGACATTTTTTCTCACTAATTTCAGATAGTGTCAATATAAACCTGGTTTAAATGTTTAAGAATAAATAAATAATTCTTTGTAATTTATTTTGGTCATACTATTTATATACCCCCCACCATTTAAAGAGACACAGGATAAAGGAGAGATGGATGAAGTCAGACCGACTTTGCTCCTATGCAAGGAAAAAAAGTTATTTCTGTTATGTGCTTGTCACTTAATTATAATTTTATTTGTTAAGGTTACTTTAAATAAAGTCAAATGCATCTACAAATAAATTATGTTCAAGTTCTGCTTTCATTTTGTGCCATAATCTCGATGAACGGATCAAAGTTGTGCACTTCATATGTGAGGCATGAAGGAAGAGTTCAGAACATCTGTAAGAAACACCGTCTTCACTTAAATCCAAAATAACTGCAGACAGAGTGAATCCATCCATCTCTGACAAGTTACACCAGTCTTTCATCTCTGCCGAGGAGATGAAAGGTGCACTCTGCAGAATTCAACTAGATCTAGCGGTCAGGTTTCGTGCTGAAGTTTAACATGTTTCAATTTACTTTCCCTGGACAGACTTGCAGGATCACATATGGTTACATTAATTCCTTTTTAAAACAGAAAATGGTTTAGTGAGAATTATATAAACTTGCAAAACCAAAATATAGTCTTGCAGCTCATATTAATTTAATTGTTAAAAAGGGTGATGTCAGGTTACTGGACGCTACCATTAATTAAACATTTTATGTATGTCATACTTTACAGCACAAAAACAATTTCGCAATAATAAGCAAACAAATTTAAAATATGGTAGTCTAAGTTATCTTACGCCGTCTACAGTGAGCTAAAGTAAAAACGTGGAAGTGCATGTTACCTATATAAATTTAGGCGACTTGCATTAAAAAAGATGATTGGAACAAGTACTTTATACATTAATTTTAATTTCGTTCAAATAAACAAAACGCAAAGTACAATGACCTTCACTGTCCACGAGAGGGCGTTAAACACCTGTCGCTGTTTTAGAAAGACTGAATAAAATGTTAATTAAATGTATGTATAATCCGCATATAGAATTTAAATTTTAATAAACACAGTGAAAGTTCACACAACACACCTACATAAATGTACCTATGGTAAGGTAAAAATGCAATATGCTGCAGTAAAATATAGTCGGAGTTGACAGCACAGAGGCGGTAGTTAACGTTATGGGCCCGGTTAACAGCCAAATGCACCGGCTAACTGCTAATCAATAAATTACTTAATATAAGCTTCCCAGAAACGTTTTTAATATTAAACGGTGACTAATGTTTAAACACTCTATGCTCAACTCCGATGCAGCTGTACTCTAAAGTGCGACACAACGATGCGGCCTGCAGCTCTGTCTCGTCACCACAGCACCGCCGCCATCTCTGCCTGGCCGCGAGTATCGCCATTTTTTCGGGGCCGCCGCCATACTTTCTACACTCGGGGAATATGGCGGCGCCCAGCAACACCTAAAACATGGCCTCCCTTCAAAACAAAAACATTTCGCTGTCATGCATTCGGGATCTGCATCAAAATCTTGCTTTATTTGCCCCGTTTCGCGGCGCTGCAACAGACCATTCCAGGAACTAGTCTGGTGCAGCAGGACAACGCCCTGACAACGAGGCCTCATGCAACGGCTAATAACTGGACTGATATAGTCGGCTGAGCCGCGGCGTTACTTACCCGAAGCCCACATTGTGACTGAAAATTCCCCCTCCAGAGTCTTTATTTGCACCTGCTTCTGCTCCCATTTTCTTCCGCCGACGTCTGCACCGCTTAGGTAGCTCTTTTTCCCCGTTTTTTTGCCACCTCCCCGTTTAACACGACCCGCTGAGCTTTTCCCAGCAACGGTCACTAAAGTCTGTTCAATGTATTCGTCCTCAACTCCCGGAGCCGGTACCGGGATGAGGATCTGGTCCTCAAACCCACCACCACCGTCCGTGTGCAGGTCCGAGTCATCCCCACCGACCACCTCCTCTCGGGTCTGGACCAGGATCACCTCCTGGTGGTGGTGAATGGAGCTAGGATCGTCCGTAACGAGCGGTTGTAGAGCGATCATGGGCTGCCCGTCGTCGTCGTCGTCATCCCCGCCAACTACCGTAGTTTCGATAGTCTCCACCGGTATCGTTTCCACCTCTATCTCGTGGAGCTCCACAATCTCGGCCGGCATCTCCGAGCCGTCTGTCTCAATGTACAGCGTATCTCCGGATGCCATATTGAATTCCTCCAGCTTGCCTCTCTCATTCACGCCGTGTTGTGCTGCTTTAGGCCACCACAAACAGAGTCACACGCCCCCTACGCTGCTGCTGCTCCTGCTCCCGCTGCCTCTGCTTCGATAACAACTCTTCTCTCCGGCCTCCACCAGATCTCGTTGCACTATGAGTTTTCTTCCAAATATCGCGAGACTTCGATAAACGGCTCTATCACAGCCTCTACGTTTTATTTAAAAACAATAACAGAACAAAAAAGACAGACAAATTATTTAATATAGTGAAGATACAGTTTTTTGTGTTGTAGAGAATATTTTTATATATTTTAATTAAGTTATAGGGTTTTTAGCTTTCAATTTTAACGAATTAAGCTTAATATAAAATAAAATATTTTGCAATATTTGTAGCTTACTTTAAGATGTTCTCCAGCGGATACTTATCTTTTGACAATTCCAGTGCAACCTCTCTGTAATAGCTGTCACTCCCATATGTTCAACTTGATAAGACAAGCCAATGAATTAGACTTGATTGATAGATAAATTAACATTATTTTGTAAAAGCCCCATTTTACAAAGCATAAACTGTCCCAACACAAAAAGCAGACAGGTCACAAGCGATCACCAAGAAAACACAAGAAATAAAAAGGTCGCTTTTATCCAAGATATTTTTCACAGTTTTATTTGAATTTAATTTTTAACTTAGAGCGACTTATTTTTGTCAAACCAGGAAGCACAATTTTGTAAATAAGAGAATAAAAATGAACAATACTTCACCATATCCTTGCAGCCAATAAACATTTTATTAACAACATTTTCACAAATACTCTGGTGTATTCTTCTTTTTTTTTTTTTTTTTTTTTACGATTGTAATATCCAAAGTAATTTTATTCCACCCTTGGTTTCAGGTCTAAGCCTGTTTTCTTCTATCCGCCATAGATTCACACATAACGGTTAAAAACCCTTTCTGTAAAAAATGTTTTAGGTATATTAATGAGAAAAATGGATGTGCTCTCAAGTGTACTTAAAGCAAAACCGAATGATAAACAATACAAAATATGAAAGGCTGACAAAAATGTGCCCAAATAATACAATTATTGTTACTATCATTGTCTCATCATAGTTTCCTCATTGTTACCATTGTACTCACTATACTACCACTACTTATACCAACATTACAATCATAAAAATGATAGTAATTATAATGTAAATGATAGTAATAACAATTTTAAAGTTAAAAACAAACAATCAAAAACAGCAAAATCATATGAATCGGATCAAATTTCCTTTGGGCTGAGAATGCAGGAAGGAACAGGAAAACAGGCAAAAATGTCAAGGATTCAGAGTCAGAGTGTAGGAGTGTGGCTCCATTTACATCCTTGTCAAAAAGTAAAAATACAAATGTTACACAGACACTTCTAAGGTGTTAAAACCAACGCCACTGCGTTACTTCAACACCACTGATGAACAGAGTGAGTGGACGTCACAGTTTAGGCCTCTGTGCCTGACTCCTCCTCCTCAGGGTCACAGCAGCTGCTACAGGGGCAATGGTTCCAAAAGGTGGTTCATGTCGGGGAAGTGGCTCTATAAGATTATGTCGTGCTAACGCGACTGAGTTCATGTCTAATGGCTGCGAAGAGAGAGCATAGGAACACTGTGAGTTTAACTGCAAAGAAAGATTTTACTGAAGTTGAGGGTTCCATCCAAGTATACCACACTAGTAACCAGCACCTAATAATTTAAATTTATTAAACATAATGTAAGCTTACTTAATAATGGTAGCATGTCAAGTAAAGTGGTGCGAAAATGTATTTTCTCTTAATAAAAGCCTTTTAATTGAACATAATAAATATTCATTAATATAGATAAATGAATATATATATAATATAATCTCTCTCTATATATAATACATATACAGTATATATAATAAATATGTCTAATTTAATTAAATATAAATACCCCCTTTTTTTAAGGAAACCTGTGTCCCCATAGTGTTACACAACAGTGTATTAAGTACTGATGCAATCAATCAGTAATCGTCGTTGATAGATTTTTTGCCTCTTCAAGTTCCACTGTTAATCGATGTGCTTCAGTACAGACAGCTAAACTATTATTTTCAGCCTCATGGCATTCTAGTGCAGTCTAGCGGTCACAGATTGACATTACCACCAATCTTACACCCACTGAAGAAACCGTTTCTAAATACACATTCACTGTGTACTACTGAGGAACTGAAAGAGAAATTGCCTCTTTTTTCTGTTCCACAGCAAAAACAACGTACCATCAATGATTTCCTCCTTTACTTTGTGTAATTCACGGAACACCTCTTCCAATATTTCCTGGGGATGCAGAAACAAACATTGTGTTCAACTACCACAGCACAAAAAAAATCAAGGTTCATTGACTCTATGCCAGCAAGAAGTTAATATTCAATAACTTAAATACACTTGTCTAAACAACTAGAAATCCAATGAAAAGCAATTTACCTGTTTCATTCTATCGAGGTCTAACGAGTCTGTGTCGCTCCCGCTGCCTACAGGCCGTACCCTGCATTAAAATAACATTAAAAAAACAGTCATTTTTATTGCTGTTGCGCTACACACAAACAATAAGTCCTAGTACTCTTATCCCTTACCTGGAAACCATTGATCTGTCTGCAGAATTTGCTCGGTCCCATGGCTTTTTTACACCATCTTTATATTAAAAAAGACAAAAAAACAAACAAACAAAGACAAAAACCAACAACCGATATTTACTTACATTTGTATAGTTAGCCCATTGTAAAAAAACAGCTAACAGTTAACCACAAATAATAATAATAATAATAATAATAATAATAATAATAATAAATAATAAGGCTCTAGTTAATACTGCAGTTTATGTCACAGACCATATTGAATGTCCTCACCTGTGACATTCTGTCCACTGCGAGTGCTGGGCGATGGAGAATTAGGATCCTCCTGAAGGAAGAGACAGAAAGTGATGTTTTTTAAGTCACCTCTTCTTAGGGATATAACAATTGAGCCTTCTTAATTTGTCTTATTCATCAGGCAACAAACTAATTTATCAGTTTCATTATCATTTTGTTATATTAATCAATCAGAGTCTTATAATCATTGTTACAGACTTAATCAACACTGGCCAACACAAGTCTTGTGGTAACAATTTTTGTTTTCCATTTACTTACATTCTGTCCGTCTTCCGCTGCTTTTCTTCTAAATAAAAAAAAAAGCAAGAAGAAATTAATATATTTAATTATATGTCAGCTAGTGTTTTTTAAAAAGATTCATCCAAATTTGCTCCTACCTCCGTGCCAACAGTGCGTTCATCTCCTCCATCAGTCCGCCGCTCCCTCCACTTGTTCTGTTGGCCTCATTTTTTGGAACCGAAGAGTTGTCTTCAGGCTGAGGAGAGGGAGAGTCTTTTTTTACTTTCTCAGGGATTCAGCTCTCACAGGTGTAAAACTCATTCCAGATCTCTGTAACACACTTCTATACTGAACCCATCTGTCACTCGGACTGAATATTGTAACACTATCTGGCTATCCTCACACCTGCACTGATGTACACCTCTGTTAATAAAGACAGCAGTACCTAAACCAAAAACTGAGACATTACAAATGTAACCAAAAGAAAAACATGGTTTCGTAACCTTTCACAGTATGTCATACTATGTATATATAATTTTATTTCACTAGAATGTGCTTTCAATGTCCTTCTCCAGCTACTTCTGGAACAGTTTCATGAACGTATCAAAGCTGCAGCTCGCTCACTCGTTGAACGCGACGCAGTTTGGCTCCGGCGATCATAGCAGCAAGTCCAGTTGCTGAAGGATTCTCATCTCCGTGAGATGGTTGAGGTGCTCCGGCTGAAGGTGGTGGTGGCCCAGGTGGTGGTGGAGGCGGAGGTGGGCCACCCATGTTCATTGGTGGAGGAATTACTGGTGGAGCTACAGAAAGCACGGCAGGGTGGCCTTGGAAAGGAGAACCTGTAGAGAGTTTTGTTGACACGGAAGTTTTGTATAATAATGTGTAATTAGGAGAAGAAACAATGTTGCATAATGTGAGCACCTGAGTTGGACGACCGTCGCTCTCGCTCCATGTGTGCCTGCATCTGCTGCTGCTGCTGCTGCTCCATCATCTGCCTGAAGGGACAGGAAGAAATTATACAGCATGCTTTCATTATTTTAATGGCAAATAATTAAACAACAAAATACCATATGTGAGCTGCAACATCTACTGATAACAACACAATAACTAATATGCTTTCAGTGGTATGGAGTTTGAAGAACTCTGACACAGAAAGAAAAAATATTCTACAATCAACATCTTATTGTGGGGCTACAAAAATTAATTTCTAAAAGGAATTGGATTTGTTCTTTACATATTACAATTCTTAACAGACTACAGACAGCATATAGTTGTTAAAATGTTCAAATACATTTTGTAAAATTAAATTGGCAAGCCAGTTGTCCCCTATTTTATACTTTATACTTTTTTTTTTACATCACAGTACAGATTTTCTTCAACCATCAGAAAATGGAGTCAATGTCTTTCCCCTCATCTGCCCAAACTCACATCTGTCCAACTCCACCTCTCCACCTTTAGCCTCCTTCATCTACACCTCACATTTCTCCTTCTGATGTTAAAGCTGTATCCATTTCACAGCTCAGGCTGGAGAGAATAGAAGGAGACAGCTCGTGGTGAAGAAGTGGAATTTTCCAGCTGTGTGTTGAAGTGCTGACTCTGCAGCCTGACTGATGTGACGGCAGTGCACACTGTAGGAGCAGAGCTGTTGAGCAATATTGCCCGACTACCACTGAATGATTTTCTGTCTGATACACAACCGTGTGCACGAACCCAAAACCTCCATACATAACAACACAATCTCCCCTCACGACCAGGGCTGTGATCCTCTGTGCCAGAAATGCCGTTTAGCAGACATAGCATCAAAAAATATTTTTTATTTGCTCTCTTAAAATCTGGCATTGAGATGAACCAATGGCTGAGTTTTTTAAACAGCAATTACAACCCAGAGTTTTGTTTCTCTCTGTAGATGAACAATAGCAGTGGAAGGTTTCTGAGTGAGCAAAAGGAAAAAGCCTCCAGCATCTCCTCACTCCACTATTCATTAGTTTCCATTTAAAGAGTATGTCATTGTGTTTGGAGTATTCTGTGGTTGTCTTTATTCATGAGAGGCAGCACTGTGACAGAGTGTGACTATGAGGACGGCATGAAGCTGTGCTGGAGACTGTTGCTTAACTCAGTGTTGGCACTTCATATTCTTTCAGTTTGACGGGTTGTTAGACATATTTATCTTTCTACTCTAATCCTACCCAGATACAGTAACTCACAAAGACTGAGTTCACAAAAAGTTCAGTGGTTAAATCAGTGAATGGTCCCTGAAATTACAGACAAACACACATTAAGACAAAATGGTAAATACATATGTTGTATTATATAAAAAGTTACTGTGTGAGGCAGAAGATTTAGTCAGTACATCGTGCTGAATGTACCTGCTGAAAAAAAAATTATCTTTTTCATAAAAATGTTTTCAGAACCTGCTGTGCTGTTTGTTCCCAGTGATATTTACCTTGCTCTTTGAGCTTCTATCTCTTCTGATGTTGGTCCATTCTGGACTTGACGCTGGACAGCTGGACCTGAAGAATAATGACAGTAAAAGGACACAAATGAACACAAATGGAATTAGGTCTATTAGTAAGTTTCTGGTCTGCTAAAAATAAGTTCTTGGTTCAAATCCACACTCTATCCCTAATACCAGGGGGGCCTTCAGTTGTTAAAAAAAAACAACAACTTCCAAATCACTCTGTTGAAAATTACTGTTATGACCCGTGATAGAAGGCAGAGCCAGTCAATGTAATTAACCACCGTATAACAGAGAATTACACAGTGGTTGATCATTACGTCCTCTTTCTGCCGTAATGACTAATGTGAAATGAAAAGCGTTCTAATCCCTGGCAGCATATGACTGTGAATTGAATTATCCACTTTTAATGTCAAAGACAAGAGAGTATAATCCACTACAGGAGTCCATGATTCAGAGGTGCTAATCCCTGCTGGCCCGACTGGTCTCCATTGTTTACTCCAGTTACCAACAATGCGCTGCTAGGGATACGTGATGCTGCATGTGAGTTCAAACACTGTCTGGGAATAGAACAGCTACGTCACACTGTTGTCTGGGTATCAGTGAACATGCACATGTTTAATTTACCTAAATGCCAAACTGAGCACAAACACAGGCGACCGTGCACAAGTCAATCACAGACAAACAGACTGTGAATGAATGAACAGCCTCATGGGAGAGGAAGAGGAAGAGGCCAACAGCCATGATACTGACGATACTCTCTGCCGCTCGCATCTCTGATGGGAATGACTTCCTCGTGAGTCACAGGTGTTAATGGCTGCCATTGATCAAGTAACACAAACCCCAGAATAACGGCACACTACAAGGACCTCACTCATGCTCCCTCTCTGATACCACT